TCCCTAAAATAAGAAAGTTGCCAGTTTTTGATGCATTAATTCTCCCCTGATAAACCTGGGGAAGGAGGTCAGTGGGATCTCTTTGGGGCTGAGTTGGCTCCAAGGCATCATTGCCGGGCTGTGGAAGGTCAGAATTCTGGCGATCCTCAATTCTCTGGATGTCTCGTGGTCTGGTCCTTGACTGCCAAGACTTGTAGGAACCAACCAGTTTCTGGAGGCTGGGATTCTTCTCATTCAGCTCCTGTTAATCCTGCAAATCAACCTCGGGTAGTCCTAGCTGAATAAGAGGCGGCAAGATTGTTAGTGTTTGTAATGTTAAGCTGCATGTTGTTAATTGGTCAAAGCTCAGCAGTGTCACGTGCACACTCTGAGGATCTATGAGTTTTGTTTCTTGTCAATGTTTATCTAAATTATAATAATAATAATCATCCTTGCATTTGATATAGTACCTGTCACATCAGGAGGTCATCTCAAAGCGCTTCATAGGATTTACTGTAATTACTATATATTTTGCAGGCAAACACAGCAAATTATTTGCATATAACGATGCCTAGCAAACAACTATGAAGTGACTGGATTTTATTTTGAAGGATTGTTTGCCAGGGCACTGGGAGAAACTCATCTTTTGAAGTGGTACCATAGGATCCTTAACTTCATGGGAAATGGGATCTCGGTTCAATGGCTCAATGACACCACTGATTTGCAGTACCCCCCTCCCCTCCCCACCCCATATTGCATTTGTGTGTCAGCCTAAATTATACAATACAAATGACATTTATATAGCACCTTTCATGTCGGGAAGATACATCAAAGCACTTCACAGTACAGGCTGGTATCCGAACTGGGGGTGGTCAGGGGTGGGGGGGTGGGGAGTAAGGAGCTGAATATCCTAGGAAGGGGAAAGATGAGCAAAATATTGGTGAAAGAGGTCTTTCAAAGGCTTTAAAAGAGGGGAGGGAATGGGTTATGAGCTCAAAGGTCCGATGTGTTGCTTGATCTCAATGCCTTCTGATTCAGAGGTAACTGAACCAGCAAAATAAAGCAATACTGAATTTAGGACTGTCAGGATTCAAAAATTCTCAGAATTCTTTCACCTTTTAGGATTCTTTCAAATAGAATATATTGGGAATTGTTGGAATACAATGGCTCTGAAGCTTACACTTGAAAATGATGAAACGGTAGGAGATATATGTTAGAATTTTTTGCTGACATTTTGATTACATTAATCTGCTATTGAAAGAAGCAATTGAAGTAGATTTCCTTTTTTTTTCTCAGGTAAATTCTAGAGAAAAGCAAGATTTATTTAAAAAAAGGTATTGATTGACATTAAAGTGTCTGATTATAGAATCTTTTAGATTTCACATTCAAAAAATATGTAGTGCCTCAAATGTTGAAGCTGAGGCTTATGATTAAAAGTGAATTCAACCCATGTTAGAATTCGCCTTCCTGAGTCTCTTCGAACATGCTACATGCTGGATCAAAGTCTATTTAGTTTGTTTTTCAGACAAATTACACAGTCAATCCACTTTACAGTATATCCTGTAAATGTGATAAGGCACTATATCAAATGTAAGACAGCTCAGAAATATGCTGAACGTCATTATACTTCCTTCAAAGACAACTGTTTTATAAAGCCATCAATTGTAACAGTGGATGGGAATATGGCTTGTGGTAATTTAACCCCATGCCTTAATATTTCACCTTAAAATCTACCTCTTTGACCATGTCTTTTGGTCCCCTCTCCCTTTTCCTTACTCGGCATCCGCAATTGCCACTTGAAGTATTCCAAGACATTATCCTATATGAAGGGTGCTATAAAATACAGGTTGTTCTCATTCATGTCATGGCTGCTGGTAGAACATTGCTGTGTGAAAGTTGGCTGCAAATACAGTCACTACACTATACAATATCATGAAATGCTTTGAGACAGTTTGACGATATGAAAAGGCACAATACACATTTATCCTTTAGGATAAGTACCAATGTACATACATGTACAGGCCATTGGAATACAGATTGGCAGTCACTGACAGTGCAAGACAAATCAAAAGCTGAATGAAACTACTATTTCTGCATTATGTTATAAAATAATAAATATAACAGTGATTACAGATTGGATTCAAATCCCAGGGTTCAGATGACAGTTAGAAATTGATTTGTTCATCCAAACACTTCAATTAGATTACTGCCCTGTGTTCATTCCTGCCTCTCATAATTTATCTATTGGATTTTAGCAAAAGGTTAATTCTCAGGGGACTTGGATGAATTTATACAGCAGGTATTGCATTTTATTATTTTATATCTAAAAATAAGTATTTGGGAGAAATATTAGGCTTTGTTCCTGCTGCTGTTTTGTTATTCCATAATTTTTGTCTATTCCATTTTTATTATTATTAATAAATATTTTTCATTGCATAGGTATTCATCGATAGAATAAATATTTGTGGACTCTTCTTGTTTAATTCTTTTGGCTTTGGAAGTGATTTTGGCTTCAGTTACTTAGCATTCAGAAAATAAATCCTTATAAAGTGAACCCACATGGTAAACGACTGGGATAGGTGAGTTTATTAAAATGAAACCAGAGAGAGACATCAGACATATGCCAGAAGCTCACTTTATTTAAAATTTATTGAATTAAGAGGCCTGAAATTACTCACAATCTTAGTCCAAAAGAATTATCAGTAACAATAATAATTCTTGCTTTTGATATAGCATTTTCACTTTGGGATGACATCTCAAAGCGCTTCACAAGATTTATTATAAATTATAGTGACTGGATTTTTGTTGACAAACATGGCAGGAAATTTGCAGTTTCCATGAATTGAATGATAAATCTTACCTGTGGCATTGTTGGCCAGGATACACTGAGAAACATCTTTCTCTTTCTGAATAGTGCCATAGGATCTTTAATGTGCACCTGAATAGACAGATAGAACATCGGTTTAATGCCTCATCTAAAGGATGGCACCTCTAACAATGCAGCGCTCCACTGGGGTGTTAGCCTACACTATGCGAGTTCATATAGCCACTATGCTAGGCAGGTCTTGAACTGACAGCTTTGTGACTCTGAGGCAATAGTGCTATTATTTGTGGAGTCCTGTAGCTCAGTGGTTAGAGCACTCGCTTTGCAAGCGAGAGACCTGAGTTCAATTCCAGGCAGGGCGAAACCTTGGGCAAGTTTCCTTACTCCACACGCCTGATAATAATCCCTCCAAAACCAAAAACAATAATAAATTGGTCATTTTCAATCTACGACTGTTTGTGGGACATTGCTGTGCGCTATTGGCTGCCGCGTTCGCCCACAAATATACAGTCAATTCACTTTGCAGTGTGTTCTGTGAAGCGCTTTGGGACGTCCTCCCGACGTGAAAAGCGCTATATCAAATGCAAGGATTATTATTACTAACTGAGCCAGACTGACACCTAGGCAGACAATATAAGATTGTGCAGAAAAATTCTTAATCTCAATGTGAATTTAGAAGCTTTTTTTTAAGATCAATGGAAAGACACTTTTTAGAATGTACATTAAAAATGTAGCATGGTGGCGTCCTTCAAACCCAACTCTGACAGAGCAGCAATGTTGGAATGTAAATTCTGCTGCTGCCTTAAACAGTCTCATATCACAGTAGGTTGAGGTTGCTCTTCAAATAGTGTGCACAACTTGCTCACTGGTGTACAAAATTAAAATGACCTTAACCTACACCTTTACTTTTACCCAATCCATTTTTATAATGTTAGCCTGAACATTTTTTTGTTATTCTAAATGTAAGATTGTGTATTTCTATTGTAAATACAACAGAATAGCTGTCTTTAATTTTAGGGAAAACAAGAGCGTATTGCTATTTCGCCGGTAACATCAGAAGGATGTCTCTGAGCACTCACAGGATTTGCGGTAAAGGGTCGTGACTACGTATTCAGTAAGAGACTACGGCAGCCAATCTGTGCACAGCAATGCCCCACAAACGGCCATGAAGAGTGGGGAGGTAACCGTAAGCACAGTTGAAGAGGAAGATCTTCAGATGTGATTTGAAGATGGGGAATGAGGAGGCAAGCAGGAGGGTTTGAGGAAAAGAGCTCCAAAAGTTTTGGGGGATTTTATTTGGAGGATTGTTGGTCTGGACACCAGGAGAATACTTTCTCTTTTCAATATATCAGATGCCTTACTTAATAAGGCCATGTAACTTCTCTACATCCTTCAAATTTCTGCATTCAACAAAAACTCGGGATTGATATAACGCCCTTCACATGGGGTAGCGTCCCAGAGCACTTGACAATGGCCGACTCCGAGCCAGGGGAAGAGGGGAGGTGACTGTAAGCACAATCAAAAAGGAAGGTCTTTAGGTGGGATTTGAAAGTGGGGAGGGAGGGGGCAAGGCGATGGGACCGAGGGAGAGAATTCCAAAGTTTCGGGGCGTAGTGGCTGAAGGCATTGCCACAGATGGTAGAACAGAAGGCACGAGGGACAAACAGGAGGCAGGAGCCAGCCGAGAAGAGGCAGCGGGTGGTGGAGTGGGCGTAAGCAGGTGGGATAGGTAGATGTAAGAGCATGAAGAGATTTGAAAACATCCCCTTCCACAAAGGAGAATTGTGAGACAGACATTATGTTGAAGCTGAATTTATGACTATTGTCAAAATGATACATTTGCAATTGAATAAATGACTGTATTGACTAAAGTTAATTAACTTCCCATTGAGATTAATAACTACTCTTTCCACTGATGTTATGTATTTATATATAAATTATGTCAAATTTGGATTGCCACAGATGAGTTTTCTCTTCTTGGTTTAGGTGTCAAAGGGGTACGAGTGAGTTAAGCATAAATTATTTGTTCTCAGTCCTATTTTGGCATTAGGGTCCAAAATTCCAACAACATTTGTAGTGTTACTAGTAGAATTTGGGTGGAAAATTAAACACAAGCGCATTTTAAAATTCTAGCCAAATTTCATAGGCCTGCTTTGCAGGAATATTTAGTATAATCCTCATATTTGGCGTTGCACCTTTCACGATGGGAGGAAGTCTCCAAATGCTTCACAGAATTTATTGTAAAGTCCAGTGTTTTACGGGAAGGCAAATTATTGCTTAATCATTTTATATAGTGACTGTATGAATGGTCACATTTTTTCTCTCTCCCTTTTCACTCTTAAAGCTATTGAACTATTTTTTCCTTTCACAGTTCCATGGCAAAAGTAATTCTCTGTCACCTCATCCATTATTCATTTGTGAGCTTTGACAGTGAATGTTGGCATCTATACCAAATGTACATATCTGGTCAGGGACAGATAAACTCTGGTCTGGATAGCAATCAGGAGCAGCAATTCTGGACAGTTTTCCTTTATAATTCAGGGGTACTACAGCCAAAATGCAGCAGCAGGTTGACCTGGTGAACTGAGCTAATTTAGCACAACGCGAGGTTGGAGCTTGCAGCTTTCCACAGTCCATGGCCTCGTCCTGCACCACACTGGTAATCGCTAGGACAATGGGGTAAGCTGTGCATTATCTGTGGAATTATTGGACACAATAAATGAAACTTATCAGATCAGGTTTGCATAAATATTTTACTGCACTTTTAAAAAAACTGGATTCATAATTTTAAAGACATAATCCATTTTAAGAGGTCAGAGGTTACAGCTACCAGTACACACTCCAGTGTGGCTTACCAACAAGTGAATTTTACTGCTGTAGGACAGTCACACAATATACTCTACCATAGGCAGGATTTCTAGTTAAATTCCATCTGAGGTATGGAACTTTATATCTCCACATTGCATCATATTACTGAAAGATTAGAATTTTAAAGATTAGCCAAACATTTAATTCAGTAAATAAACAAATTAAAAGTCAGAAAAAGACTTCACATAAAGCGTCATTTTATTGAGCATAAAGTGAACTTTTTTTTAAAAAATGACTGCATTTAGAATATTCGCATGAATTATAGTTGCTTATAGATATACAAAACTAAACCAACGAGAGAAACAAAATCAATCGCAGGGGGTCATTCTAAAAAAAATATTTTATTTTGCGCAGTTCAAAATGTCTTCTGTCATTGCAACAATGCTTATGATCCTTACTGTTCGCTATCCATTGAAAGCATGAATCTCTTCATCACTAAATCCTATTTGTTTGAAGAAGCTGTAGAGAGAAGAAACAAAATAGAGTTAGAAACAATGTCCTGCAAAAAAGCTCATCATTAATTTTGGGTTTATATCATTTCAACGTATTGTAATGGGTGGAACAAGAATGCTTAATGGACTTGTTTTATTTTTAAAAAAATTGTAATAAAAATTTGTAATAACACTAAAAACACTAAATCTATCTTTCTAATAAAGTTAAAAAAAAACTAACAACATTATCAAAATACCGCTTTAATAGCATTATACTTGAAATTCTGGCATGAGCAAGAGAAAAAGGAATACAGCGAAACTGACAACTAGCCCATGGGATAACTAGTCATCCCCACATAATTAGTCACACTCAATATCCTGGCTATTTGAGTGTTTTGTACTTTCGAGATACTGTGCTTTGGATAACTAATCAACTCTGATAAGTTACCATTTGAGCTATTTCCCTTAGGTGACGAGTTATCAGAATTTCACTGTACCTAATTTAAACAAATAAAATGTTAAACCTACAAAGTTTGGTAAAGAAAATGAAATGGAAAAATAATAAGAGACTGTGGAATTGAACTACAGAAAACGAACAAAATCAGAATTTAGGTTCTTTGCTGAATTAGCTATTCTCAACCAAGATGCCACAACCCTTGGGTTAAGGAGGGCAGGCAATTAGACAAGGGTCCCATTCTCGATTACTACAGTGATTTTATGCACCCTCTTTTTCAATAGTTTTGATTCCGTCATGTTATGTAATTCCTTCCAATCACAGACCAATTCCCTTCTTTCCAATATTTTGTTCCAACCACTTATTTCCTCAAGTACCAGCTGAAGTTTTCTGAATTCATAGAATCATGGAATCTTCCAGCACAGAAAGAGAACATTCGGCCCATCGTGTCTGTGTTAGCTCTTTGATAGTGCTATCCTATTAGCCCACTCCCTGCTCTTTCCCTACAGCATTGCAATTTTTTTCTTTATAGGTAAGTAGCCAATTCCCTTTTGAAAGTTATTATTGAAACTGGTTCTGTCACTCTTTCAAGCAGTGCATTCTAGATCGTATCATCATGTGTTTTTATTTTCCATTTTCACGCTTTCTCCTTGGACCTGGATCTCAATTTTGTACAGAGTCGGGCTGTAACCACACAAAGAATGAATACAAAATGCCAGCAGTGAAAGTGTTCTGGGTGCTGGGGGCCAGGAAAAAAAAGCCAGAAACAAATAGGCAAGTTGAAAATCAACAGATTTCTGTAATAAAATATTCTGAAATAATGAATCAAATACTCATATTATATTTAAGCATGGTAAAATTTGTGGCTAAATATATATTGAACATCTTGAATGGTATCATGCAGACATAAACTAAACAAACCTTGGTTTATTGCAATTACACTTTTCAAATAGCTCATACGTTAAATGCTTATGTATGAACTAAATACTAAAATATGTATGAGTTGTTTAAATCGGTTACGTTAACAGGCTTGTAAAGCATTGAATCTATAGTGCTAGACCTACTGAGGTACAATACACATATTAGTCTGTTGGGAACACAAGACAAATTGACCGACTAATTAATTTTCTGTAATTTTTGTATAGTTCAAGCGCTCTGAGACCCTACCTTGTTTGAAGGGCACTATATAAATGCAAGTGTTATTGGTGTACTTGACCATTTATCAGTAAAAATCAAGAGTTGCAGAAAGGGAATAATATGAACATGGGAATCAAAAAACAGACAAAACAATAAAATGCAAAGATGAAAGTGGAGAAAGGTGGATGGGAATAAAACACGAATAGCCAATTCAAGAAGCAGCAAAAATCAAAGGTAAAATCAAGATAAAACATTTTTCTAAATAAAAGGAAAAGACAGAATAAAAGATACCTCAATCAAACTAAAATCCGTCATGAGCTGTCAATATACCATGTGAAAAAATGAATATTGCTGTGCTACAGCTGTAACTGAAGGATGGAGATTAACAATTAAACAAACATTACTTGTATTTAATTCAAATGAAGCTAGCGGATTTCCTAACTATTTACTGCTCCTGTTACCACCAAAATAACTACAACACTAATTTTTGAAGGAAAAAAAGGCTTCAAGATGAGGACGTTCAGGTGGAGAAATGTCAGAGCAGATGTCTCATCAGTGATTCTGGTAGTTAATGAGAGCATAGAAAGGCCAATTTTCTAATTCTATTAAACAGTGGAGAATAAAATTCATCCTCCCTTTAAGATTGATATAGCTTTATTGATCTTAGCAAATCTCATGAATTGTATGGGACTTGAGTACCAAATTGCCAGAGAAGATCATTTGAGTTGATTGAGGAACCTTGGCTCTGTAAGCAATGCCAATTTTGCATTAAAAATGTTGTGTCCCAAGGACAGGATGATCATTCAGTCCATCCTGCCAGAATTATGATCACATGTTGTTTAAGAATCAGAGGAATGTACGACACAGTGGGAGGCCACTTAGCATACTTATTTGTGTTGGGTTTATGAGGCCTACTTCAACCCTTTTATAGGTACATAACCTCTCCTGTGAGGTTGTGGAGAAAATAAGCAAGGTCCCCTTGGGTTGAAGTGACTGAGTGACATGTCCGAAAAAATACAAAGTAGACTTGAAGGAAGAAGACAGGACTTCAATTCTATAAACAAAGCTGTAGTGTTTACAGCGATTCTACTGTACAATTCTATACAAAGAATGCAAGTATTATGCATTCTGTGTGATTTAACAATATATCAAGAAGTGTCAGCCTGACTCAGTTTATGCTGAGTCAGAAAGCTTTGGAATGATGCACCACATTGTGACTTTGAACTCATATAGTCTTGGCTGACACTCCAATAGTCTTGGGGGAGATTTGTGTTGTTGGAGGAGTTATCCTTCAGATGTATTAAACCAAGGTTTAGGCAGATGTCAAACAGCCTTCATCACTATTTGAAAAGAGAAGGTAGTTTCTCCTGGTGACCTGACCAAAAACCCTCAGATAAAATTGATCATTCATTTCATGGATGTTTTGTGGGACACTGCTGTGCGCAAATTGGCTACCACTTTTGCCTATACAAGAGTCATTAAACTTTACATATATCCTGCGAAGCACTTTGAGGTATCCTCATGACACGAAAGGTGTCATATCAAATGCAAGGATTATTTTTAATAGCTACCCTATTCCTTGTTAACATAATGTTGAAAGGATGAACATGCCAGCATCTTTGGTACTGAGCACATATGATTTTCTGCCAGTTGATAAATTAATAGTCAGTGTGTACAGTGTATATACTGATAAATTGAACTTGGGGACCAGCGAATAAAACCCCAAGACAAATTATGATCAACAGAGACTAATGATCAGCTTAACAATAACTTTAATATATGGTTAAGAATTTTAAAACTTTATTTAGAGAAGCTGCATTTGCAATGTCCCAGCTTTGAAGCTTTGTGCAATGACTTAGCTCTGTGTAATGACAATCATTTTCTCCAATGCCATCTCAGCTGTAGTACAGTATGTAACTATGCCTGCAAGCATTTTCAAAAGACATCACGCAGGGAAAGTTTGTGACATTCGATGATTACATGCTTTCTAGCTTCTGATGTGTAGATTGTTTTGACTCACAGTAGATGCAAAGGTTATTTTAGAAGGAACAGGCTTGAATCGGATCTAGTTTCTGGTTATCACTTCGCTGAATACTGTGGCTCAGGACACTCAATATACATCTTCTCCTTGTCTATATAGCTGTATTTCAGTCTCTTCCCTAATCAGGTTTTGGATTGTTCTTATATTTAAAGATTGATTTACCTCTGGATTGCCATGTAATGCAGTATGCAACATTCAACTCTTGCTACACTTTGCAACTATCTATCACTAATCTCATATGATGGCAGCATGGTGGAAAAAAGAGAAGTACAGGTCACAAAGGAGATTTAGAGAGGTGATCAGATTTAAATATTTTTGTAGCACCTACAAAGGTTTCATTTGATTTTGTCATGTTCTGATTTTTTGGTCGTAGCTGTAAAATGTTTTTTTTGGGGGGGTGGGGAATCCAGTTTGGTTAACTCAAAATATTGCAGAATTTAAGCTGGAGAAACCTGACAGCATCCCGATTGGTTTATAGGTTATCCCCTAGACACAGGTGGAAATGTGGTCTGCACAAGGCTGCACTTGACATAACATAACATGTAGGAGCAGGAGTAGGCCAGTGGGCCCTTCGAGCCTGCCCCGCCATTCAATCATGGCTGATCTTCTAATCTAACTCCATCTGATAACCTGAACCTGCCTTACCCCCATATCCTTTTATCCCTTTTGCAATAAGAAATCTATCTATCTCAGTCTTGAATATGTTCAAGGACTGAGCGTCAACAGCCCTTTGGGGTAGTGAGTTCCATACATTCACTACCCTTTGAGTGAAGAAGTTCTTCCTCAACTCAGTGTGAAAGGGCTGGCCTCTGATTTTAAGGTTGTGACCCCTGGTTTTAGTTTCTCCAACCAGGGGAAACAATCTCCCACTATCTACTCTATCATGCCCTTTGATGATCTTATACGTTTCTATAAGATCCCCTCTAATTCTTCTATATTCTAGAGAATATAGGCCCAAATTGGTCAGCCTATCCTCGTAACGGAACCCCTTCATCCCTGGTACTAACCTAGTAAATCTACGCTGCACCTCCTCCAAGGCAAGTACGTCCTCCCTTAAATGAGGAGACCAAAACTGGACACAGTATTCCAGGTGTGGTCTCAACAGGGCCCTATACAGTTGCAGCAAGACTTCCCTACTCTTATACTCTAATCCTTTCATAATGAATGCTAACATACCGTTCGCCTTCCTAATTGCTGCTGCACCTGCAGACTAACTTTCTGTGATTGGTGTACAAGGACACCCAAGTCCCTCTGGACGCTAACACATTCCAATCTCTCCCCTTCTAAAAAATAACCCGCTCTACTGTTTTTGCTACCTAGGTGGATGACTTTGCACTTCCCTACATTATACTTCATCTGCCACCTACCTGCCCAATCACCTAACCTATCTATGTCTCGCTGCATTTTTTTAATGTCGTCCTCTGTGTTGACACTTCCTCCTAGTTTTGTGTCATCCGCGAATTTAGATATATTAACTTCGATGTCCTCATCTAGATCGTTGATGTAGATGGTAAATAGCTGAGGCCCAAGGACTGATCCTTGTGGCACTCCACTAGTCACATCCCGCCAATCCGAAAAGGACCCGTTTATCCCTACTCTTTGTTTCCTACCCGTTAACCATTCCCCAATCCACGTTAATATGCTCCCCCCAATTCCATGGGCCCTTATCTAACCTTTTATGCGGCACCTTATCGAATGCCTTCTGGAAGTCCAAATAGACCATATCCACTGATACACCCTTATCTAGTTTACAGGAAATATCCTCAAAAAACTCTTATGAGATTTGTCAAACATGACTTCCCTTTTGTAAAGCCATGTTGACTTGGCCTAATTATATTGTGCTCCCCTAAATACCGCACTACCACATCCTTAATCAATGATTCTAAAATTTTTCCTATCACTGATGTGAGACTAACTGGCCTATAGTTCCCCATCTTTTCCTTTCCACCTTTTTTAAATAGTGGTGTGACATTTGCGATCTTCCAATCCATGGGGACTGTTCCAGAATCCAAGGAATTTTGGAAGATCAGACATAAGGCCTCCACTATCTCATAAGCTACCTCTTTTAAAACCCTGGGATGCAAGCCATCCGGACCAGGGGATTTGTCACTTTTTAGTGGTAACAGTTTCCCTAGCACCAATTCTCTACTAATGAAAATTTCCCTAAGTTGCTCTCTGTCCTTATCCCTTTGGTGCATATCCATTGTTGGCAGACTTGTTGTGTCTTCTATGATGAAGACAGATGCAAAGTACCCATTTATGGACTCTGCCATGTCCTTATCCCCCATTGCAACTTCTCCCGTCTCTGACTGAAGTAGACCTACATTTACCCTCACTAGCCTATTCCTCTTAATATATTTGTAAAGATGTTAATGTTCCTAGCTGGCTTACCCTCATACTCCTTTTTCTCGCTCTTAATGAGTTATTTAGTTTTATTTTGCTGGTTTCTAAAACTCTCCCAATCTTCAGATTTGCCGCTTTTCTTGGCAGTTTTATAAGCCTTTTCTTTTAATTTGATGCTTTCCCTAACTGCTCTAGTTAGCCACGGATGAATTGTTTTCCCTGTGGTACTCTTATTCCGCAAGGGAATATGCGACCGCTGAGAATTTTGAACTACATCTTTAAATATTTGCCACTGTTGGTCTACATTTTTACCTCTTAATCTTATTCTCCAGTCTATTTTACCTAAATCTTTCCTCATACCTACAAAATTAGCCCTATTTAAATTCAGAATACTTGCCTCAGATTTAACTATATCCCTCTCTAACTTAATGCAGAATTCAATCATATTGTGATCACTCTGCCCCAGAGGATTCCTAATACCTACACTGCCATCTAGCCCTGTTTCGTTACACAAAATAATACAATAATTATAATAATCTTTGCATTTGACTTAGAGCCTTATCACTCTGTAAAAATGTCTCAATGCATATCACAGGATTTCACTGTACACTATATTGAATGTACTTGCAGGCACCGCACCTCACAATTTTCACTCCCAAAATATTTTTTCTTCCAACTTTAATTGCCATACACTACTAAAAGCTTTATTTAAACAAATTGGAAAGTAATATAATAATAATCCTTCATTTGATATAGCGTCTTATCATATCTTCAAGACGTCTCAAAGCGCTTCACAGAATATACTGTAAAGTGAATTGACAGCATATTTTGTGGGTGAAAAAAAACAAATGCAGAAAGATAAAAATGCACTTGAAAAAAAGTGTTGTGATGCATGATTGGAATACATTGTACATACCCAAAAGCTAGTTCAGTAAAGGAGGCTGGACCACAAACACACACAAGCGTCTTAGATTCTTCAGTGCATTTACTTCTCAATTCTGAACAATGAGACATTTCAATCCTTCCCCGTTTCCCTGTCCATTCAGGGTGAGGATCTGATAGAATGTAGTCGACTTCAAACCTAAATAGAACCACAAATATTTGAATGGTAAGATCTCACAGGGATAAGTGTGTTTAACAATTTTCTCTATTTTTCCTTCTCAACAATTAGCTTCCGCTATGATTTCTACACAATGTGCTGCTTTAGATCACAATCCTGAGTTAAGCACGATCAAGTGTCTCTAAACCGATGTTAAAGATCCCTTGGCACTATTCAAAAAGAGAAGGGAGTTTCTCCCACTGTCCTGACCAACAAATCACTCAAATAAAATTGGTCATTCACTCCAGGTTTGTTTGAGGGACACTGCTGTACGCAAAATGTCTGCTGTGTTTAGGCCACAAAATTCACTTTACAATATACCCTGTGAAGTGCTTGGAGACATCTCGATGACATGATAAGGCACTATATCAAATCAAGGACAATTATTATTATTATTATTATTATTATTATTATAAAAATCAACCTTCCACCAGCTCATGTGATGACCACAGTTTGACAACAATTGATTTAGGTAATGAAGGGCATCAAAAGAGCTGCATCGTGCCAGTAGTGAGTGCAGAACTATTGTTATTTTTTGCTTTTGTCTATTTTTGTCTATCGATGAGTTTAGAACCTGGTTTCTTGTGGTCGAAGCTCTGATAAACTCATCAAAGAGAAGCAAGCTCAGGTTTCTCATTAACAACAAGTACTACAAACTAAATTTTAATATTCGCTGCACTTAGTACATTAATATTTATGTTGTATATTGTGGACAAGAAATATTTAATTAGCCAGATTTGTTTTGCACTTAAACTATTTACTGGGACACGACAAGTCGTCAAATTTACAAACGTGTCCCGAGCTCCAAAAGGTTCAGAATCACTGCCCTAGATTAAAGTGAAAACTCCGAATTCCTGTCCTGACTCCCCAATGGAAAGCATGATTTTGGGTGAGCATAGGATAGGGCTCAGCTGTGGTGCAATAACCTACTAATAATACTGGTCAAGGATCACACATGAATAACCGTTAGGGGTAAATTGGGACCCGTGGAACTTTAGACCAATAAAACCGGGGACCTGGGGAAGTAGGTCAGTAAATTGGTAGTGAGAAAAAAAGAAATCAGATGTGCAGTAAAATGAATAATTCATCATATCTTCCAAAGGAAAGTGCCCTCAAAGAACAGCTGAACTGAAATGATACGCCTGAACCCACAGCAAGGGTGTTTTTTCATCTAATAAGTTGCAATTATCTTTCCGTTCTGTTCAGAAGGCTGACTTGGCAATCTTCTATATGCTCCTGTAGACCAATGAAACTGTAAAGTTAATCATTATGCTGTTGTAATGCTATGTATTTTGCTTATAATGGAAAATTACTAAATTGCTGTCCATTTAAGTGAAATTTTGTTGATGAATGTACTTGTGTAATTTTTGTAACCTTGCTAGATGCTGTCTTTTCCTTACCTAATGTCCTTGCTCAGTTTGGTACAGTAATGAATGTGATAAATGCAAGGATGAGGGTCTCAGCGGCCCGATGGGTGAGGTAGTGCTGGAGATGGCAACTGGTGGAAGCGGGTGAAAGTTGAGCATGTCAGAGGGTGTGGGATGTAAAGGACAGTTGGGAGTCAAAAGAAGACATTCAGGTTCTGCACTAGCACTGCGAGGAAGTGGTAATACAGTAGATGCTATTATTAAGCAGCTAATAAGGTTTCCATTTTGAATGTGCTATACATGTTAAACCCGGGGTAGGACCGTACACATACAGCTTACTTTAGGAATTGGCAGAAAACTTATTTATGGTATTGATATGGCTATTTGTCCATCATCAGTCATGTTGAGAAAACAAAAAGTGTGTAGGGATCCTTTATCAAGACCCTCTGCCTAACTGATCCAAACTGTTGCTATAGGATCACGCTCAGGCAGGAATGCTCCTTCTGCTGCAGACAGACTGTCAAACAAGTTGGGTGTTCCAGATAGCTGCAGCATTAATGTAATCACCAAGAGAGATAAATCAGGCATAAAAACAGAAATCTCTGGGAACACTCAGCAGGTCAGGCACAAAATATACAGTCAATTCACTTTGCAGTTTATCCTGTGAAGTGCTCTGAGAAAATCTAGAAGACATGATAAGGTGCAAAATCAAATACAAGGATTATTATTATTTTGCCTTGCAGTTAATAGGAGCTGAGTTAGAAGAAACCCTGTTTTCACCCCTTCCCTACCCTCACCCCTGACAATTACCCATCCCTCCTTCCACACCTTTGAACCTGTCACCCCCTCCTTTGTCTTCAACACGGTAACCTCCATGAAGCCCACCACCTCCTCCCTGATCCCCATCTCTCTCCTCAAATTCCAGCTCCACCTCCTTGCCCCACTACTCGCCGACATCATTAACCTCTCCCTATCATCTGGCACTGTTCCTTCCCCCCTCAAAACAGCCACTATCACCCCCACATTGAAGAAACCTTCCCTCGACCAATCACAGCTATCTAGCTACTGGCCCATCTCAAATCTCCCCTTCATATCCAAGGTCCTTGAGAGAGCAGTTGTCTCCCAGTTTCGCTCTTTCCTCTCCTCTCACTCCCTCCATGAACCCCTCCAATCAGGTTTCCGTGCTGCCCACAGCTCTGGTCAAGGTCACAAACGACATCCTGACCATGTGTGACCAGGGCTCCCTCTGCCTCCTCGTCCTCCTTGACCTCTCCGCCGCCTTTGACACTGTGGACCACTCAATTCTCCTCCACCGCCTCTTCTCCCACCTCAACCTTCAAGGTTCTGTCCTTGACTGGTTCAGGTCCTACCTTTCTCACTGCCTCCACTTCATTATGGCAAACGTCTTTTCCTCCAGCCTCCACCATCTCGTGCGGTGTTCCTCAGGGCTCTGTCCTCGGTCCCCTCTTCTTCACCCTCTTAATGCTCCCCCTTAGTGACATCATCCGCAGATATGGGGTAATTTCCACATGTATGCGGATGACACCCAACTCTCTCTCTCTGCCTCCACCCTGAACTCCAGGTCTACTAGCGTCCTGACCGACTGGCTGTTTAACATCAAGTCCTGGACAAGGGCCAACTTCTCCAACTCAACGTCAGCAAGATTGAGGCCTTCTTGATTGGCTCGAGCCAGAGCCTCTGCACCTTAGGCGCTGGCAGCATCAGCCTCCATGGCTGCACACTCAACCTCACTAAGCCGGTCAGGAACCTGGGTATCTTGTTCGACCCTGAACTGTCCTTTCTCCCCCACATCCGCACCATGACCGCACTGCCTACCACCATCTCTGCAACATTGCCAGACTCCGCTACTGCCTCACCCCTCAGGCTGCCGAGACCCTCACCTACGCATTCATCACCTCAAGGCTCAATTACGGGAACTCCCTCCTCATTGGTCTTCCCAATTCCTCCCTTCACAAGCTGCAGATCATCCAAAACTCTCACGCACCAGGCTCCGTAACCCCATCACTCCCAGCCTGCCCGCTCCCTCCGCTCACCAGGCTCCGGCCTGCTCCATGTCTCCCGCCCGACCCACCCTACCATTAGTGGCCGGGCTTTCAGCCTCTCTGCCCCACACTCTGGAAGTCCATCCCACGGTCCCTTCGCCTCGCTTCCTCCCTTGCCTCCTTCAAGGCCGGTCTCAAGACCCTTCTCTTCGAACGTGCCTTTGGTCTCCCTCCCACCTCTCTGCCTTCCCTCACCCCTACACCACCCCTCCCCCATGCTCAGGCCCCGACATCTGACTGTTCAGCGCTTTGGGACGTCCTCCCGATGTGAAACGCTCTCTATAAATGTAATTTTGTTGTTGTTGTATTTCCCTGGTTATGGCAGCTCTTGCAGTGTCCATATTGGCCTTAGAATCGAAGAATCTTGAAGTGGGATTTAAAGATGGATAAAAAGCAGGTAAGGCAGAATGAATGAGGGAGTTCCAGACTGGAGGTCTGGATAACAGATGTGTCTGCCTATCATTTGTGGAATATCATCTGAGAATGGGAGTGTATAGGAATATAGGAACAGAAGGCCAATTAAGTCATTGGCCAAATTTCGTATATCAACGCTTCATTAAATATTTGTGCACAGGCCATTTTTCATTAGACCACTGTCAGTCCAAAGGGAGTTACGTTTGCTCTTTAGTATTCATGAAATTGTCTCTACAAAAAACAATTTGAGTAGATTCTATATGAATGAAAGTAGTGACACCTAATTTTCAATCCAATTTACATTTATAAAATGCTTTTCACATCAGGAGGATGTCTCCCAAGTGCTCCACACTGCTGGCTGGGCAGCAGAATTGGGGTGATGGGAGCCAAAGAGGACGAACTGTGGAAAGATAACTGAAAGAAAAAGCAGTCAAAGAGGTACATGTTAAAAACTACAAACTAATTTAGAAACTACAGAGGATAATCCAGACGGGAAAGGTAAACACTCTCCCGATTTGAGCCCAAACTAAACAGTTTACTTCTTTTATATTATTCAATCCAGACATAGTTGTGCAGTCCCAGGATTGCTCGCCAAATAACAGGTTGGAAGTAAAATGTTTTATGCTTATTTAAGAAATGCAAGTTACAGGTTTTCCTTGGACTAATGTTTGACAAAAAAACTTTAAAAACGAGAAATGATACACAGCTGACTCGGAGATCTGCTGACAAGGGACTCTAACCTACCAAAGTGGAGAAATATTAAATTGTGGAACACTGCTTTGTACTCATGATTCTTTTCACTGGTTACTGATCTTTGTTCAGCTGTTAGAGGAAGCACCAAGCTAGTTCCCAAAGGGTGCTGGAGAAAAATCAGAGGGCAAGTAATCCTAGGGAACCTAAAGGAGGAGAGAAAATTGAACACTGATTCTCACTCACAAATTTTAATTTTATTTTCTCTCTGATTTTAGGTTATTCCTATGCAATGTGCCATTCTCCGTGGATCACATATGTATGTCTTTGTATCCACACAGTTTATTCAGTATTGCAGCATACTGATGTTCTCCAGATAGTGTTAAGATACCAACCTCTGCTGACTTGCTTAGCCTGGCTTATTTGAGATAGTCAGTTGCTTATTTTAGTAAGTTTCCCAAAAGGCTCAAAAGAATGGAGGCAAAGCCATGTTGGATTGATGAAAAGGATTAACCTCACCATCACCACAATTCCTCATGGTTACTCCAGAACAGCACTGGAGATGCAAAACAACAGCAACTTGCATTATAATAGCACCCTTCACGCAGGATAGTAACCCAGAGTGCTGCATAGTGGCAGGGTTGGATGGTAGGCAAGAGGAAGGTGATCAATGGTACGATCAAAGAGGGATCGAAGAATCTTGAAGTGGGATTTAAAGATGGATAAAAAGCAGGTAAGGCAGGATGAATGAGGGAGTTTCAGACTGGAGGGCTGGATAATAGATGTGTCTGCTCTATCATTTGTGGAATATCATCTGAGAATAAGAGTGTATAGGAGTATAGGAACAGGAGAAGGCCAATCAGCTAACTGGGCATGGTTCACCAGTTCATGACAATCTGTTCATCTCATTTCTCTACCTTTTCCCCATACCCCACAATATTCGTACATCCCAAATATCCACCTCCCTTTTAAATAGCTAAATTGATTCTGCCTGTACGACCTTCTAGGGCAAAGCATTGCACATTTTCACTACCCGGTTTCTAATCTTCTATTCATTTTAGCTCTAACTTCAAAATGACGTTATCACTTTTATTCAACAACAAAAGGTTTTTAAAGCAGAACTAATAGTTTGGATGATGAGTTACCATAATTAAATAATAATTGCTTTATGCTGAGGCTCTTTAGTTTCAATTTAGAAATCACTCGCAGTCTTTTTCCTACTAGGGACTTTTAATCACATTTAATGAGGCATTAACTATCTCAAGAGTAGCTTTTTCAGTCATCACTTAATTCACTGGAATGGAACAAGCACTTTGTTCTGACCAGCTAATATACAGTGCTGTGATTTTCTATACTACTTAAACACTATGTTAGCTTGGCAGCACTCTCGCCTCAGCCTCAGAAGTTTGTGAGTACTATGTTGGTCTTAAGTTCATTGTCTGGGCTGACTCTCCACTGCAGTATTAGGAAAGCACTTCATTATCAGAGATGCCATTCTTCAGTTGAAACGTTAAACCAAGGTCTCATCTGTCTGTTTTTCAGGGAAATGTTAAAGATCTCATGACACTATTCAATTAGAGAAGGTAATTTCTCCCCATGTGCTAGACAACACTCTTTACAAAAATAAAGGGGCATGAACTCACAATCTTCTGATTCTGAGGCAAGAGTGCTGCCAAGCTGCCATAATGTTTAAGTAATTTAGTAAACTGCAATACATAAACTGATGACTGAAAAAGATTCTGATATAGTTAATGTCTTACACTTAACAGTAATTATTGTAAAAATGTTGACATTTTGATGTGATAATGCCCGTATCCTCCAGTGAACTAAGATCCTCGTTCTGTTGTAGAAGAGCCCATTCAGACCATCATGTCTATGCTGGTCCTCACTTTGAGGTCGGCAATAGTCAGCCAAACCTGACTCACTTACCTATACATTTTCGCGATTCAGTGCAGTTTTCAACTGTCCACATCCCAGTCCCACAATCAGAGCCAGAGTGGTGGAGCCAAGTCAAGTAAATCCTCACCGCCCCCCAAAAAAATCCTTCAATCCTAGATCCATGCCTGAATTCAAAAGCATTTTATATTCTAACTATCCTTTGTATAAAAAATCCTCCCCGTTTAGTTTCCTGTCTTAGGAAATTATTTTATTTTGAGACAATGTTACCCGAAATTGGGTCACTTAGTCAAAGGCGCTTTGTACAGAGATGAAGGGAATCTAGATGGTATGATTTTTTCTGATGAAGCTGTTCAGTTTGACACATTTACGTTTAATCGTAAAATCCAATCACTATATTGGGATCCAATTACATTTTCGAGGCGTCTGAATTTCTCCAATTTCTCTAACTAAAATTAAACATGTCCCATTTAAAAAAAAGTTTGAAACTGCTCCAAATTCACCTTTGCAACATATCCCAATGCTTTCCTGAAAATGTACTCTATTAGCAGTATACATGTTAATAGAGTATATTAACGTATATTGGCTCTACATGGATTTTAAACTGTTTTCATTATGTGAACACTTAAAAAACAATGAATTGTATTAATTGAAATATGAAAGTTACCGGAGAAGATATAGTAGTCATATAATACTTTTTTTTCGGTCAGTTGGATATTCGGCATATGAGGAAACCAATACTTACCAAAGAGTATCTATCCAAACCACATACACACATAAATTTCCCCATGTGTGGAATGGAATGCGCACTCTCTCCCTGGAGGGACACACTCCAATTACATAATTCAGGAGAGCAATGACCACAGGTTGGCGAGAGCCAAGGTTTAGAGACCTCAGATTAAAACTTTAAGGACTATTTTAACACTAGAGCACAAGTACAATTAGATAGAATATTCTTTGGATTATGAAATAATTTTCAAATTATAACCAGATACTTTTTTTTAAAACTACAAAATCAATTCCTGTAATTATAAAACAGTTTTCTGACAAGAACACTAACACTATTCTTTACATTCTAAAAAAAGATAGAGGGCATTCATTTCATTTCAGAGCCTAAGTCACATTAACCGGCTATTAGCCAGAATGCTAAAGTGATTATAGTCCACATGACAAGAAACATAAGTGCATTTTAACAATTTCTTTGTGAGGCACTTTCTTAAGCACTGAAAAAAGTTGGTCCCGAGTATTATAAATTGTGGCGACCCCATCATTCATTTCATCTAATGCATGTGGGAGTACAGTAGTGACTTCATCTTGAGAAACAAGACCCTGAGTTGCTTTACTGTAAACATGTATTACCTATTGTCTTTGGAAGACAATTGATCCAATTGATCCCTCCACAAGATATCCTCTTCTTTCTTGTTGAAGAAGATCAACCGTATTTTCCTAAAATAAAACAAAGAAAGAATGTGATAGCTCTGTCCTTGGGTCAACTTCCTCTTCAATATCTATTTGATCCCTCTTGGTGACATCATCCGCAAACATGGGGTCAACTTCCAACTCTATCTCTCTGCCTCCACCCTCGACTCCAGGACCACTGCTGTCCTGACAGAATGTCTGTCAGACATCAAGTCCTGGATGAGAGCTAACTTTCTACGGCTGAATGTCAACAAGACTGAGGCTCTCCTGATTGGCTCCCGTCAGCGCCTCCACACCTCAGATGCTGATAGCATCACCATCCAAGGATGTACACTCCACCTCACTGAGCCAGTCCGGAACCAAGGCATCTAATTTGACCCTCAACTACCCTTTCTACCCTACATCCATGCCATGACTTTCTCTGCCTTCCCCCACCTCTGCAACATTGCCCGGATCCACCACTGTCTCACACCGCAGGCCGCCCAGATCCTCATATACGCAATCATAACATAATAAGTTAATAACGCCCTGCTTGTCGGCCTCCCCAACTCCTCCCTCCATAGGCTGCAGATAATCCAGAACTCTGCAGCCCATGCCCTCTCCCGCACCAGGCTCCGTGACCCAATCACCCCCATCCTCACCTGACTCCACTGGCTTCTCATCACACAGATGATACAGTTCAAGATCCTGGTCGTCACCTTCAAAGCCCTCCATGGCCTTCCTCCCCACTACCTCTGCGGCCTCCTAACCCACTACCAACCTGCCCATTCCATCCACTCAGCGGAGTCCGCCTGCATCACATCCCCCGCCTCACCTGCTCCACCATTGGCGGGCAGGCCTTCGATCACCCTTTTTCCCCGCCTGCCCTCCGACGTGGAAGGCGCTATACAAATGTAATTTCATTGTTGTTAATCTTTATGTAAACCTAATCTTCAGTATTTTGATTAATGAGATTCCTAGATGGTACAGTTCAGGAAAAAAGCCATTCAGCCCACCCAGTCCAGGTGTTTTTTTTATACTCCACACGAGTGTCCATTTGAGATCCTATCCATGGTCCATATCCCAGATTTTTCCCTATATTCAAGTTTATTCACTTTTAACCAGGTGGCCAAATCTTTTTTTGTAAGTTCACATGGTTGCCGCCCCAACAACTAATTGCGGCACTGAATTCCACAATCCCACCACTCTCTGAGTAAAAAGGTTTTACTTAATCTCCATTCTGGAATTCCCAGTTCTGATTTTAAAACTATACCCTCTAGTTCTAAATGTGCTGGATAATAGAATTTCCTCATGTGGAAAATTCTGGGTCTTGTGCAATAACACGGAGAATATCTATATCTGTCTGCGTGCCTCCACTACTTAATGTTACAATTGGTTTTAAAATTCATGTTCAGAATTAGATTGTTATAATGTGAAATAAATGCCTCAATCCTATAGATGAGAACTATATAATAATAATAATCCTTGCATTTGATATAGTGCCTTATCACGTCTTCCAGACATCTCAAGGCGCTTCATAGAATATACTGTAAAGTGAATTGACTGTATATTTGTGGGCGAAATGCGGCAGCCAATTGCACACAGCAGTGTCCCACTAACAATCGTGGATTAAGTGACCATTTTTTTTTCTTGAGGGATTATCATCAGGCGTGTGGAGCAAGGAAACTTGCCCAAGGTTTCGCCCTGCTGGAGGTTAATAACCATCTTGACAATGAACTAATGGTAATAAAAAAAGCTCCAGGCAAGCTGTGCTGACATTTAATGCTACATATGAACAATTGACATCTTAAATATATTTCCTCTGAAAGATGTTTTGTTCCAGAATCTTTGAATCAGCAAGAGAGATATATGTGCAATTCTGAATACTGAATTCTGAGAAGCTTGATATAAAGTTTAATATTTTCAATGAAGATAAAATGGATTAATTGTTACTGAAAAAAAAGTTCCTTGAAATGCAATTCAGCCACAGAAAGTCGGAAAAATCATATGTGAAGCAAATAAGACCAAAGAACCATAAGACGTAGGAGGAGTAGGCCATTCGGCTCCTCGAGCCTGCCCCGCCATTTAATAAGATCATGGCTGATCTTCTAGCCTAATTCCATTTACCCTCCCCATCCCTTAATCCCTCTATCCTTTAGAATAAATGATTACAGCGATAATACAGTTACACGCCCCCAATTGTATTTCTTACAGATAGTGGCAGGTTTTGCAGGTTTTGTTCTACTCAAATGCTAATGGAGTGTTTATTTAGCACTATGATCAAATCATTCTTGTCTATTGCAAGCTGCCAACCTAGTGCACTGAAACTTCCTTATCCTTATTTAATCCAAGGAACATTCTTTTTTACAAATTCTAAAGTGTCATCAGAATCCTGGGTTCAAACATTTTCTTTTCTTTTGTACCTTGTGAATGAAATTAGCCTGTAATAAAACGGAGTACAATAATAACCTGTACTTATAAAGTATCCTCAATGTAGAATAATCTCTTGAAATGCTTAATTACTGCACCTTGAACAACAACTTGCCTTTATATAGCACCCTTCACGCAAGATAATAGGTCAGAGGAATTCAAAATGACTAGGTCAGGTGCCGAGAAGGGGGAAGTGACCATTGGTATGGTTGAAGAGGTAGGTTTTTGGATAGGGTTTAAAGACAGATAGAGAGGTGGTGAGCCAGAAGGGTAGAATGAAGGGAGTTCCTGAGGGAAATATTGATTGAAATAATCAAAATATTTTGTATTCAATGACTGACTAAATAGAGTGGAAACCCATTATCAAGGTCAGCCAATAGCCTATTTTGCCCCTTATAGGCTTATAGTGAGTTTGGGATTTTGGTTACCATGTTTCCAATGAACCAAAAAATAAGCATTGACACATGGGACTGAATACAATTAAAACATTATAATGCTTTGAGGATCACAGGCATATGACTATTTCTGACTAAATTAAAAGTTTCCAAGAATTGAGAATTAGAAATCACATTGATCAAAGAAACTCACCTGAGACAACAACTTTCTTTCAAGGCAAATCTAATAACATTGATCATTGGGGTGAAGCCTGTGCCAGCAGCCAACAGGAGAAGTTCAGCCTTGCCTTTCATTTGTGAACATCTGAAACTGCCTTCTGGGTTACTCACAGACACAGAGTCTCCTTTGCGTAAAATAAAAAAAACAGTGAGATTCTCTATGTTAAAGTTTATATTTGTTCTAAAATGGGTCAATATACTGCAATACTTCTGGAAATATCAGGTAATTGCAACGTTTATTTCAGTATTAAGGAGAGATGTGCAAGGAGAGAAGTGAAAGGGCAGATGTGCTAAGGGTAAGTTGCATTAATATATTAAGCTGCTCAGCAAAAATTAATTTTCTTCCACATGATATAGAAAAAGAACAAGCTGGGCTCTTACACAATACAGAATGAGACTTCCCCAACCAACTTAATCTTCAACTTCAATAACAGGCAATTTAACTAAATTGACAAACAAAATGTTCTTGTGAATCAATTCGCTCATTACATTATCCAACATATACCAATTATCTAAATGCAAGTTGCTGTATTCACATCACTCACACCCTGGTTCTACAAGTCACAGTGCTCCTGCGCTCCTACCATGGAGACCATTAATAATACTATAGTTATAACAGATGCTGTATTTCTGTAACAGACGATATTTTTTTAATAAAACCTCTTAATCGGCATTACAGTAAAACTAACATAAGGCGTATCAGATGGGACCATAACATTTCTATGGCTTACGCTTAAGTCTGAGTTACAGTCAAATTGTATAAATCATACAAAAAACAATTTAATCAATAATCTACACCGCACATGGGTAATTCAATTCAGCTGGTCAGTGTGCATGTGATACTTTGTCACTGCTGTTGGTAAATACGAATGTGGTGACAGGTCAAGACTACATTTCCTGCATTTCAATTTATCTTGACCCATCCCTGCATGTGCATTTACCAATGGGATTACGAGTTAGGGGATGATTTGTTTATAAAATACGGATGAGTGCAAAGAAATCAAAGTGGTTTTGAGAGGAAACTGAATGGGACTCTGGTGCATGTATGACTTGGGCGATTATATGAATTTATAAAGATAAGACTTATATGAGTTTAATATGATAATATTAACTGCAGTGGACAGGTTAGGCTATAAAGGTTGAATGCTGAAAATGAATCACTTGTAAAAATTTCAAAGAAAGATCCAGGTAAAAAACCAAGGTAACCAGACAGAGGAAAACAAAACATCAATGTCCTGACCAACAATTCTGCAGATAAAATTGGTCATTCATTTCATTGCTATTTGTGGGACATTGCTGTGTGCAAATTGGCTGCCACATTTGCCTACAATACACAATCATTACACATCACAATAAAATCTTGTGAAGCACTTTGAGACATTGACAATAAGATAGGCACTATATCGAATGCAAGTATTATTATTTAAAAAGCATTGATCATCATATAAATACTCTCAAATTCATATATGATCTATAGTTATATAGTTTGAGAAATATTCATTTTCCTTTGATAAATTTTGCCTTTGGATCTTAATCTTTCTACTGTAACAACAGTATTTTTACACTTATAGCCTGGGTCAATAGAAAAGTCCTGGTGCATCTTTTCCATTACAACGTCCCCAATCTGCTACATACCTTCCATAAATGCAGTTTCTGGCCCATGGACCACTCACTGTTTACCTGATGTCACTGTGGGCAGAGCGGCTCTGGACACGCATGTGCAGTGTGGGGCAAGCAGCAAATGGGCTATACTTGGAGGCCCCGCTGTGGTGATTGTTTGTGTGTGTGTGAATGTGTGTCTCTCTGTCTGTATGTCTTTGTGTCATATACCATTGGCGGGAGAGCCTTCAGCCACTCTGCCCCACAACCTCTGGAATTCCATCCCCCAGTCACTCCGCCTCGCCCCCTCTTTAGCCTCGTTCAACACCCACCTCAAGACCCTCCTCTTCGACCATGCCATCGGTCACCCTCCTTCCCCTCCCCTCTCCCCCCGACCCCAGCTTGGGTCTGAAATGCTGTACACTGTCCAGCGCCTTGCAAAGTCCTCCCGACGTGAAAGGCGCTATACAAATGTAATCTTATTGTTGTTCTCTATGAGTTTGGGTATATCTCTCTCTGAGAATGTGTCTCTTTGCGTCTATGAGTGTTTGCGTGTCTCTCTCTCTCTGAGAGTGCTGCGTCTCTCTGTGTATGTATGTTTCTCTGTCTGTGAGTGTGTGTGTGTCTCTGTTTCTCTGAGCATGTGCATCTCTCCATTTCTGCATGAAAACTGTTGCTGTTATGGTTATCACACATAGTTAGAACATTAGGATTGGAGAACTTGTTTTTGAAAATTCTTACCAATTTGAAGACTGTCAATGAATGGTGTGAATACGCCATGGGGGTAGATTTTTATCATTAAATATATATTTGTAAGGAAATGACTGTTGTCCTCTGGTTCTGGATACAAGGATGGCAGTGCAGCAGTATAAGGCCTAACTACTTCTGTATCTATGTGAGGAAAGAAAGGAAAATAAGAGTAAAAACCATGCTTTCTGATAAACTGAAGATACCATACTTGTTTATTTAAAATGAGTTAAAAGTATGGAGTCCTGCAGCTCAGTAGTTAGAGCACTCGCCTCGCAAGCGAGAGACCTGGGTTCTATTCCCGGCAGGCGAAATGTTGGGCAAGTTTCCTTACTCCACACGCCTCTGTTTACCTACAAGTAGGAACCTTGGTTGTTAGTCGATTGGTGGATTGCTTTTCCGGGGATAATAATCCGTAAAAAAAAAAATAAATAATAATTTGGTCACTCAATCCACGACTGTTTGTGGGACACTGCTGTGCGCAATTGGCTGCTGTGCTTTGCCCACAAACAGTGGTGGATTGAGTGACATTTTGTTTTGGAGGCATTATTAACCCAGGTTAGCGATCTGCAATCGTCTAACAATCAGGTTTCTAGTAACTGCTAGGTAAAGAAAAGCGTGTGGTGTAAGGAAACTTGCCTAAAGTTTCGCCTCCCCTGCCCGTGAATCAAACCCGGGTCCTCTCACTTGCCATGCACCACTTTGGTGAAGCATTCTACACCATTGCATGATGCGTTTATGAACAAACAAAACCTCTCTGGGTGAAGAAAGTGCCACTTTAATGAAAGGCATGGGGATGTAGACAGCCAAAAGAGTCAAACGATATTGACCTAATCAGCATGAGAAACTATCTTGACTAATAGCTATCCCTATCTACTTAATTCTAAATTAAAATAGTGTTGTATATTTACATGATTTTTGTGCTTTTAACTTACCATGAATACTATTTTTGAGGTAAATGTGTTGTCCAATAGGTACTGTTAGATGACATCCAAGAGGTAGCTGAAAACAAAGCAGTCTGGTGTCGTGCGTGACATCTGTCTTTGAAAGTAGCTTGCATTTCCGGTAAAAAAGACCTTTGCAGGAGAGGAGAGAAAAGTCACCATTTTAATATAAACATTCAATAGAAAATTGAAATATCCCATCTTTTATTTTTCAACCTCCTCCCCAGCCTGCAAAGGCTTTTAACCAAACTGTCATTGTTTTTACAGAGTACACACTTTTTTTCTAGATTATGTGCACCTATTACATTAAGTGGCACTAGTTCTACTGTTCAGAAAATATAGCGCCAAGTATCTTTTTTGGAACACATTATATAATACCGCCACATTTGATTTTACAAAGCCGTTATTTTTAAATGTATTGAGAAAACAGCTTGCATTAAAACAGCAAGAATTACAAGAGATGAACATGTGTGGAAGCTACAATAGTCAAATGCAAATGCAATACAATAGTCATAGCACAGATTCTTTCAATACGTGAACAATACTTGATTCCTGTTTGATTCTGATCCATTGCCCTCAGCTGCAATATGTACAGCTCAGGCTTCAACAACAACAAGATTACATTTGTATAGCGCCTTTCACATCGGGAGAACGTCCCAAGGCGCTGGACAGAGTACAGCATTTCAGATTAGAGCTGGGGTTGGGGAGGGGGGGGGGAGGAGAAGTGGGGTGGCCGATGGCATGGTCAAAGAGGAGAGTTTTGAGGCGGGACTTGAAGGAGGCTAAGGAGGGGGCGAGGCGGAGTGACTGTGGTATGAAATTCCAGAGGTTGGGGGTAGAGTGGCTGAAGGCTCTCCTGCCAATGGTGGGGCAGGTGGGTTGGGGAGCAGGCCAGAGCAGAGGGAACGGGCGGGTTTGTAGGGGGTTAGGAGGTCGCAGAGGTAGGCTGGGGCGAGGCCATGGAGGGCTTTGTAGGTGAGGACCAGGATCTTGAACTGGATCCTCTGAACAACAAGATTCCATTTATATAGCGCCTTTCACGTCGGGAGGACGTCCCAAGGCGCTGTACAGTTGGGTCAGGACCCGAGCAGGGGGGAAATGGTCAGGGTGAGGGGAGGGATGGGAGGGAGCGAGGAGGGGGTAGAGAGTCGAGAGGGGAGCTGAAGGCACGGTCAAAGAGAAAGGTCTTGAGACCGGCCTTGAAGGAGGAAAGGGAGGAAGCGGCGAAGGCACTGGGGGATAGAGTTCCAGAGCCTCGGGGCTGAGAGGCTGAAGGCCCGGCCACCGATGGTAGGGCGGTTGGGGCGGGGGATGTGGAGCAGACCGGAGCCAGAGGAACGGAGGGTACGGGCAGGTAGGTAGGGGGATAGTAGGTCGGAGAGGTAGGAGGGAGCAAGGCCGTGAATGGCCTTGTAGGTGAGGATGAGGATCTTGAATTCGATCCTCTGGGGGATGGGGAGCCAGTGGAGGCGAGCGAGGGTGGGAGTGATGTGGTCCCGAAGCCTGGTGCGGGACAGTACACGAGCTGCAGAGTTCTGAATGACCTGCAGCTTGTGGAGGGAGGTGCCGGGAAGGCCGGCGAGGAGAGAGTTCCCATAGTCCAGCCTTGAGGTGATAAAGGCGTGGACCAGAGTTTCAGCAGCGTGAGGGGTGAGGTAGTGCCGTAGTCTGGCGATATTCCGGAGGTGATGGAAGGCGGTGCCAGTTGTGGCGCGGATATGAGGGAGAAAGGACAGCTCAGGGTCGAACAGAACCCGAGGTTCCTGACTGGCTTTGAGAGGTGGAGAGTGCAGCCTTGGATGCTGATGCTGTCAGCGCCTGAGGTGCGGAGGCGCTGACGTGAGCCAATCAGGAGGGCCTCAGTTTTGCGCACGTTGAGCTGAAGAAAGTTGTCTCTCGTCCAGGACTCGATGTCGGACAGGCAGCTGTCAGGACATCGGTGGTCGTGGAGTTGAGGGTAGAGGAGGAAAGGTAGAGTTGGGTGTCATCCGCATACATGTGGAAGTTAACCCCATGTCTGCGGATGATGTCACCAAGGGGGAGCATATAGAGGGTGAAGAGGAGGGGACCGAGGACAGAGCCCTGAGGGACACCGCACGAGACAGTGCGGGGGGTGGAGGAAAAGCCATTCGTGGAAACAAAGTGAAGACAGTGGGAGAGGTACGACCTAAACCACTCAAGGACAGGGCCTTGAAGGTTGAGGTGGGAGGACAAGCGGTGGAGGAGGATAGCGTGGTCGACCGTATCGAATGCTGCCGATAGGTCGAGGAGGACGAGGAGGCAGAGGGAGCCCTGGTCACAGATGGTCAGGATGTCATTGGTGACCTTGACCAGGGCAGTTTCTGTGCTATGGGCAGCACGGAAACCCGACTGAAGGGGTTCGAATAATGAATGGGTGGAGAGGAAAGAGCGCAGCTGGGAGGCGACAACTCGTTCCAGGACCTTGGACAGGAAGGGGAGGTTGGAGATGGGCCGGTAGCTTGATAGCTGCAACGCATCAAGGGAGGGTTTTTTCAAGGTGGGAGTGATGGTGGCAGTTTTTAAGGGAATGGGAACAGAGCCAGAGGAGAGGGACAGGTTGACGATGTCTGTGATATGTGGGGCAAGGAGGTGGAGCTGGGAGATAAGGAGTGGAGTGGGGATGGGGTCAAGGGAGCAGGTGGTGGGTTTCAGGGATAGGATGAGTTTGGTGACAGAGGGTGGGGAAACGGGTACGAAAGTGTGTAGGGGAGGATGGGTAGGAGTCGGAGTGTGGGAGGGAGGGGGTGGGGGGGTGGGTGGATGTTGGAGGGGAAGTGACCGCGGAGCGAATTCCCTTGATTTTGGATTCAAGGATTGAATTTTGGATTGAAGGATAGGGAGTCAATGGAGTCGGGCGAGAGTGGGGGAGATGGGGTCACGGAATTTGGTGCGGGAGAGGACACGGACTGCAGAGTTCTGGATTATCTGCAGCCTGTGGAGGGAGGAGTTGGGAAGGCCGACAAGCAGGGAGTTTGCATAGTCGAGCCTGGAGGTGATGAAGGCATGAACAAGAGTTTCAGTGGCTGAGGGGTTAAGTAGTGGTGGAGTCGGACGATGTTATGGAGGTGAGGGAAGGCAGAGCGGGTCATGGCTTGGATGTGGGGAAGAAAAGATAGTTGAGGCTCGAACAAGACACCCAGGTTCCTGACTGGCTGGTGAGTTGTAGTGAGTAACCATGGAGGTTGATGTTGCCAGAGCCTGAGGTGCTGAGGCGCTGGTGGGAGCTAATCAGGAGGGCCTCAGTCTTGTTCACATTCAACTGTAGGAAATTTGCCCTCATCCAGGACTTGATGTCCGACAGGCAGTCTGTCAGGACAGCAGTGGTCCTGGAGTTGAGGGTGGAGGCAGAAAGATAGAGTTGGGTCTCATCCGCATACATGTGGAAGTTGACCCCATGTCTGCGGGTGATGTCACCTGTAGCTCAGTGGTTAGAGCACTTGCTTTGTAAGTGAGACACCTGGGTTCAATTCCAGGCAGGGCAAAACCTTGGGCAAGTTTCCTTACTCCACACGCCTAATTAGAATCCCTCCAAAAAAACAAAACAATAATAAATTGGTCATATTCAATCCATGACTGTTTGTGGGACACTGCTTTGCTCAACTGGCTGCCGCGTTTCGCCCACAAATATACGGTCAATTCACTTGAAGTCTATTCTGTGATGCGCTTTGAGACGTCAAGAAGACATGAAAAGCGCTGATATGAAATGCAAGGATTATTATATATTATTAGATATTAAAGAGAGGGCCTAGGACAGAGCCCTGGGGGACGCCAGACATGACAGTGCGGGGGCTGAAGGAGAAACCGTTAGAGGCAACAAAGTGGAGATGGTGAGAAAGAGAGGAATCGAACCAGGCAAGGGCAGGTCCGCAAAGATTAAGTAAAGCGAAGAGGCGGTGTATGAGGATGGAGTGGTCGACAGTGTCGAAGGTGGCAGAGAGGTCGAGGAGGACAAGGAGGCAGAGGGAGCCCTGATCACAGGTGTTCAGAATATCGCTTGTGACTTTAACCAGGGCTGTTTCCGTGCTGTGGGCCGCGCGGAAGCCGGATTGGAGGGATTCAAAGAGGGAATGGCGAGAGAGAAAGGAGCGAAGCTGGTACACGACTCGGTTAGAGACATCTCACCCCAAAATGGATAACCGGGTCACACTCAAGTATGGGATCACATATGAACAGTGCTATTTCATCAAGTTACTAGAAGTCTGCTGGTGCCTGTAGAACCGTCCTCCAACTTATCATCTTCGGGAGAGAAATGGGAGCAAAAAAATGTAGCGTTGGCAGGAATGATAGAAAATGAGTGGCAGCAATCTGGATTTCCAACACAAATCTAGAAAGGTGAGACAAAACAGCATACATGGATCATAGGAATGTTTTGTGGTAGCAATGTAGTTAACTTGACTTGAAACGGGTAAAAATCAATGACAGATTGAAGAAAAGCAACTGGCTGTCGTGTTTCACCCACAAAATATATTGTCAATTCACTTTACAGTATATTCTGTGAAGCGCTTTGAGACGTCTCGAAAACGTGATCAGGCGCTATACTAAATGCAAAGAATATTATTTATTTTTAAATAAATAAATCCATATTTGTACCTCGATCTGAGTTCTTTTTCCGTGAGTCATGATTTTCTAGAGGTAGTCCAAGATCACTCCACATTGTATTGTCTGCTTTTTTCATGCATAATTCTATTTTTCCAACCGTGTTTGCATAATGCACTAGCCAAAATAAAAAAAAGAAACACATTTATGATGAAGTTGAACCAATTAAGAGTGAATTCAGAAAACACTTTTTCATATAAAGAATTGTAAAACTATAGAATTCACTTATGCTGTGAAACGTACAAACAGTTTCTACATTTTTTTAGTGCAGCCAATGTCTATGTCTTTATAATATAAACACCTCCAACAATAAAATACATCGCAGATGATTAGTAGAAAGAAGTCTTTTAAAGCTGATGAATTTTCGCTAGGTTATTGTGTAGGATTTTAGCAAATTTCCTTTCAGATATCGATTTATGTCACGTAACAATTTTAGAAGAGCCACTGAAGAGTCTGAGACAAATATAAAAATTGCTTGGCCACTGAATAATCAATTTAAATAATTTCTATTAGCAACTATTTAAATATTCTACATACCAGAAACCACTTCTTGCACTTCATGACTCAACTCTGTAAGAAAGAAAATGGATGTGAAGACACTGACTGATCTATATTTATTCAAGAGGTCTCAACTTTGAGATTTTTCTTTTCAAGATACACAAAATAAGGTTCTGCTTTTTACTCAGGTGAGTCACTTTCAACTGACAGACAACTGAGTCAGGGGAGAACCTGTTTTTTTAAACCTTGAGCACAAAAACAGTCGCTTTTTTAGGACCGATAAAATGTTTTCAACTTTCTAGAGCAGCTCATTAATTGATTGATTAGAAGCATTTGCAGTTGCAGTCAGGGTAGTGACTATATTTTGTAGGCAAACATGGCAGGCAATTTGTGCATAGCAATATTCCTAAAACAGCTATGATCAATTGTATATGGAGGATTGTTTCCCAGGACATTCCAATCAGGGTGGATACTAAGGAAATGTGAGTGTGTTCACAACATCAAATTGCATTTATATAGTGCCTTTCGTGTCAAGAGGGTGTCCCAAACCACTGGACAGTCAAAGGTTTGCACCTAAATTGTGGGTTAAAATCAAGAAGGGTGGATTACAAGGAGGTGGGTTGGGAGGATGACCAAATCAAATAGGAAGATCTTGAGACACCCCTTGAAGGAGACAAGGCAGGGGCAGAGGTGAAGGGATTCTGGGGTGGAGTTTCAGAGGGTGGGGCAGAAAGGCTGAAGGCCTAACCACCGATGGTTTGGCAGGGGACATGCTGAGCGGAAGGAGAGGGCAGGATTAGTAAAGTTTTAATAATTCAGAGGTAGGGAGGAGCAAGACCGAGGAGGGCTTTAAAGGTGAGGATGAGGATCTTAAACTCGATCCTCTGGAGGATGGGAAGCTAGTGAAGAGGATGGGATGATTGGCTCACGGAGCTTGGTGTGGGAGAGGACACGAGCTGCAGAGTTCTGAATAATCAGCAGCTTGTGGAGGAAAGAATTGGGAAGTCCAGCGAACAGGGAGTTAGCATTGTCAAGCCTGGATGTTATGAAAACATGGATGAGGGTCTCAACATCCTGAGGGGAGAGGCAGTGGCGTAGGTGAGCAATGTTGCGGAGGTGGGAGAAGGCAGACCAAGTCATGGCACAGATGTAGGGCTTAAATGACAGGTGTGGATGTTGACAGGAGCCAAGCAGAAGGGCTCCATCTTATCAACATTAAACTGTAGAAAGTTAACTCTCATCAACGACTTGATGTCTGATGGACAGTCCATCGGGAGTCGAGGATGGAGACAGGTAGATAGAGTTGGGTATCATCCGTACATATGTGGAAGTTAACTTCATGCCTTTGGACCACATCATGAGTGGGAGTACGTAAATATTAAAGAGAGGACCAAGGATAAGCCCTGAGGAACGCTACATGTAACAATGCGAGGGCTGGAGGAGAAGCTGTTAGTGGGTACAAAGTGGAGACGATGGAAAGGTAAGAATGAAACAAGGCAAGGACAGAGCTGTGAAGGTGGAGCTGACAGTAGAGGTGAGGCGCTGGAGAAGAAGAGTGACCAACACTGCCGAAGGCGGAAGAGAAATCAAGAAGGACAAAGAGACAGAGAGACAAACCCAGACTCTAGGTAACGCTATTCCCTGACTGTTTAGTGCCTTGGAATGTCCTCCCGACGACACAAAAGGTGCTTTACAAATTTAATTTTGCATTGTATTCAGCAGCTGTTGTCCCGAAACCTTGGAGTTTGCTGTTCGATTATTCAACAAACTGCTGCCTCTGCCTATGTTGGGCAGAGGTCCTGCAACCTTGTTCTTCAGTTTTCATTCAAAGACAGTTGAACAATTGTAAATACTATTCTTGGAGCTTCTATGTACCAGTTATTATTTCACTTCTGCTATATTTGAGGCCACTTCCTTTTGATGAATACCAAAAAACATTTTGACTTTAGTCAAATGCAATTAGTGCCAAGCCTCTTTCATTGAACACATCTCAATAACCTTTCCCCAATAAACTATTAGTGTTGATTCAACCCTAGAATAATACAACAAATCACTGGTCAAGGGTACTGTGTGTATCTGATTCAGAGTCCTGCTCCTGAAAATACCTTAAGAGATGATTTCAAGAGCTGTATTATTCCCAGGATAAATCATGTTTATACTCTAACCAAATTTAAATCACATTTCATAGAAATAATAAATGGCTAGATTAATTAGAAAAGGTTTAATAATGTGTCTTGGAAGAGGGGTCACAGAGGAGGGAGAGAGAAAGACGGAGAACAAATGGACTGCTTAAAATAATAAGTTGAACATTTCTTGGAGAAGCAGAGAGGGAGTGAGAGAACAAAAGGAAAAAAAGGGAAAGAAGAATAAACTGCACAAAAACATGTCTCTAAACAATTTCACTCTTGATTTAATAAATGTATTTTAGGCAATACACAATCACAGTTCTTAAAAACTGGAATGAATCAATAGCAAATAATAAATCCAGGTTAAGACTGCTTTGTCACTCACTTTCTGTTCCAGTTGACCATTAGTATCAAGGAAGAGAATACTTACTCATGTGAAAGACATAAGAAGATTCTTCGAGGCGAACCTCTGTTCTTAGCACACCCTCCGCTAGATCTATGATCACGGAATCTGAATTAATATCCTGTGAAAGAGGATTTCACAAATCAAAAGCTTCCATAATTAACAGGTCAACAACAACAACAACTTGGATTATATAGCGCCCTCCACACCGGATGGCGTCTCAGAGCGCTTCACAGTAACGAATCCTGGGGCCGAGCCAGGGGGAGGGGGAGGAAGGTGACCAAAGGCGCGGTCGAAAAGAAAGGTCTTCAGAAGGGACCTGAAAGTAGGAAGAGAGGTCAACAGGTTCAGGTGAATGTAAAGAACTTTAAATATTTATGGTTACTGAGAACTAATGAGTACAGTACTTCTCATATAAGGGAATTAGAATAGCTTTCGAAAAAAAGCAATCGAAAAGGCTCTAGGGGAAAAGCAGGGAAATGGGATTTAGATATACAGTTTAGGATTAATAAAGCGAATGGACTGCTACAGTACTGATACTATAATAATAATAATCTTTGCATTTAGTAAAGCACCTTATCACTTTGGAAAGATGTCTCAAACGCTTCAAAGGAATTACCGGGAAATGGAATGACTGTGCACTTGTAGTCAAGCGCAACAGCATAGTTGCGCACTGCAATATCATAAACAGCCATGAAATGAATGACCGCTTTTATTTGGGAGATAATTGGCCAGGAGAAACTACTTTTATCTCATCTGACAGACGGCACTCCCAACAATGTAACAGTCCCCCCCCAGCACTGTTTTGAGTTCAAGTCCCAATGTGAGATTTGAACCCACAACCTTCTGAGTCAGAGGTGAGTGTGCTACCACTGAGCCAGGCTGACAATTGCTCCCATTTTATCATCAGAAGTTAGAGACTAAAATTTTGCTGGGGAAAACAGACATTTGTGAACAGGTAATCATTAATTGTTTAGTGCTATTTCTCCCCAAAATATGATATTATGTACATTTTTAAGCATAAAATTAGAACATTAAGTACTCCTTTCAGTTTGGCTGCAGTTGAGATTCTACTTTAGGCCTCTAGTGTTGATGTTTCAGCTTGGTGGCACAGTACCTTTGTGGAACTATGCAATGTACTATGAAGTGATTGCAAAAGTGGGATTAATCCAATGACTCCATTGGCTCCCTATCCTTCAGAGGATCCAGTTCAAGATCCTGGTCCTCACATACAAAGCCCTCCATGGCCTCGCCCCACCCTAGCTCTGCGATCTCCTAACTCCCTACCAACTCGCCCGTTCCCTCCGCTCAGCCGGCTCTACATCCCCCGACTCACCCGCCCCACCATTGGCAGGAGAGCCTTCAGCCACTCTGCTCCCAACCTCTGGAATTCCATTCCCCAGTCACTCCGCCTCACCCCCTCCTTAGCCTCCTTCAAGTCCTGCCTCAAGACCCTCCTCTTCGACCATGCCATCGGCCACCCCCGTTCCCCTCCCTTCTCCCCCCTGACCGCAGCTCGGGTCTGAAATGCTGTACTCTGTCCTGCGCCTTGGGACGTCCTCCCGACGTGAAAGGCGCTATACAAATGTAATCTTGTTGTTGTTGTTGATTCCCATATATTGAGTGTCAATACAAGATGTGCTGTCTGGAAGAACCATTAACCGGTGGCTGCAAGCCCAGGTAAAAGTAGCTGCTTTTGACATTTGTAGAATGAAATACTATGATGTAGTATACGTGATACTAAGATTGCCACCATATGAATGTAAGACATTCACAAATAAATGGTTTAATTCACCAGTACACAAATCAAAATGTGCCTAATACTGATTAATCATGCAAAGTTTCTAGGCAATGTCTCCTTTTTTATACAAAGGATTTTTATATTCAGCACGGTACCTATTTACAACATTAATAATAAAACGAGATTACAATTTACATCCTTAACACTTGATTTTGGATACCTTGTGTATTGCTGGCAAATAATTTAAATCACAGAGAAATAAGAAATGTGAGTTTTCATTTCCATAACATTAATTTTCCTTTGTAATTCATTGCCCATTCTGCAGAAATACTCAAATAAAAATATACAGCATCTTTGGTTCTTGTAACAGGGATTTCATTCATTCTGTCACTCATTCTATCAAGAAAGCATTTGGAATTTATTTAGATTTTCGAGCGATTCATACACAGACGAGCACTGTACAACCACGACAAGCCCTCTAAAAGTAACAGTACACCATCCTTACGTATTCACTTGTGATACATATCAGATAATAGTTTGCTGAAGTGCCTTGCAAGACTTAGTTTACCATCACTTCAACCGCTTTTCATCCTACCCGCTAAGTAATTCTCCTACAAAATACAGTCACAATACTTTACAATATATTCTGTGAAGCACTTTGAGATATCCTCCTGCATAGAAGGCAGCATAGCAAATGCATTATTATTATACTCAATAAGATAATCGTCACTCATTATTTACCAAGTTTAATTTGACTTAAGAAATATTTAATATAGTCTGAGCCTCTTTCCTTCGCTTCTTCCCCACCCAAAACATAAATGCCTCTTTTTTGACGATTACTAGTTTTATCTACTCTGCGATAAGAATGTGTGCCGGCATTACACAACATATCAAGCATCAAAAGTGGTTTAATTATCAAACACATACCTTTTGTTTGGTGTATATAACAACTGTGACTGCATCTTCAGTCTGAAACCATTCATACCTGGTAACATTTAAAAAATAGGGATGGATTGATAATATTTTGTTTCTTTGTCAACTCTGAACCTAAAGCTGCATTTCCAAAATCAAATGATTCAAAAGTACAAAGTTAGGCAATATTGAAGTGGAGGGCTTTAAGTGGAAGATTCATAGGTTAAATAAGAATTAAGTAAAAACACAAGCATGACTCAACTTTGAAAATAAGGATATCATAGTATAAAAAATTGTCTAATCTGGGATGGTGAAAATAATGGCAAGAAAGGCAAGATAGCCCTACAAAATATTCTAATCTAAGTGAGGCATGTGGATGGCAATTTTTTTTTGGGGGGGGGGGGGCATGTTAACACAACTGTTGAAAGTCTAACAAAAAGAGTCAATGAAGGGGAAGCTTTGCCAGAAATGGAAAATTTCCATGAACTGAGAATCAGAAGAACTAAAGAATAGTGTGGTAAGTAAGTTCAAAACAAAACAAAACAAGGCCCTTTTTGGCCCTTTCCAACATTAGCCTGGCATGGAAAGAATCAGGATTTTTCCAAATAGTAAATAAATATCAGGAAAAATTTTACAAATGAAAGTAACTGATTCACAAATAATATTAATACTTCATTCCTAATGTTCATATTGCAGATCAAGGACTACAAGAGTAGCACAAATATGTGTGCATTAGTAAAGCAAGCAAGAGATAAATATTGAATTTAAAAGATATTGAAATGTGTTATTACCTCCGAACTATGTTTCTAATGGAGACATCAAAGAGGGCTACAAAGGTTTCTCCATAAGGCAAATTTTTATAATAAATGAAATTATTATTATTATTATAATAAATACCCTTCCTAGTTACTGACCCTCAATAGAACTAGCAGATACATGCCCACCACCAGCTTAAAACCATGGAAAAAGCCAGATAGCTGAGCTGGAACATTTACATCCAATCTTTAGTTCATTACGTAATTTTTCTCTATTGTGGATAATACAATTTTTTTTAATAACATATATAATTCCCTCTGTACAAATGTATTGGGCGCTTTGTGCAAACCATCTGTGCACAATTTTTACATGGTTCAAAGTAACCCCTAATATCTTATAAGATGCAAGATATTTTCTGTGCACAGGATTAAGCTTATGTATTACTGTATGGAATGCTAACACATTGCCATACAGGAACAAGAGATAAGGCTTAAATAATTTGAACTTTGCTCTGCAAATATCTCATCTCTATTGTGGATAATATCAGAAGCCCAGAAATTGCTTCTGCAACATTAGATCTTTAGAGAACAGTATCCTCACAGACTGAGTCACAATGAAAACAAATACAATGCCTACCTCAGTGAAACATCTCTTAATGTTTTCTCAAACCCAGCACCTGGAACACTTGCACCTATAAAAGACATTTAAATATTATGACGTAGTCCATTCAAGTGAAACAGACTTTGAAGAGAAGTAAATGAACATCCTATAGTCACTTTCTCTAAATAACAGTCCTCTAGAATTCAGCTTAATTTTTAAGCACTCTTTAAACCAATACCTTTTAAATTCAATATTTTATTGGATTTTCTCAATTTCGCAGTGCATGAAGTGACCAAGTCCAGAACTAGTCAGCAGCCAGACAGTAGTATGCATAGGCCTGCAGCACCCAAAGGATTAAGGCTGATAATAAAATATGTGGTGATAGCTGGTTTAGCTTCTTGAAGTTAATTTAGGGCTAAATCATATCCATTTTAAAGGGGTTTATTTTATTTTTTAATGACATACCGTTTAGTAATGTCCGCGTTGACATTTTGACACGAGATCGATCAGAAACTGTTAAGGATGAAAATAGAAGTCATAATTAACACAGCGAGACCACGTGGACCAACAAATAAAAAAATGTTCCACAGTTTATTACCTCTGTAAAATGACACCATTTATAGTTTTCAGTAATCTATTTCTGACTTCTACAAAAATGCACATAAACAACAATCCTTGCATTTGATATTGTGCCCTATCATGTCTTCAAGATGTCTCAAAGCGCTCCACAGAATATATAATATAATAATAATAATAATCCTTGCATTTGATATAGCGCTTTTCACGTCGGGAGGACGTCCCAAAGCGCTTCACAGAACACACTGTAAAGTGAATTGACTGTATATTTGTGGGCGAACGCGGCAGCCAATTGCGCACAGCAATGTCCCACAAACAGTCGTAGATTGAAAATGACCAATTTAATTATTGTTTTTGGTTTTTTGGAGGGATTATTATTATTACACTGTAAAGTTAATTGACTATATTTTGTGGGCAAAACATGGCAGCCAATTGCACATAGCAATTGTCACAATGTCAAAATAATTGTCAATGAAATAGCAATCTAGTTTCAACTATGCAAACAATGGTTTATACCGGTAAATTTATAGATCCTATAAATGTAGATTAAGAAAAGGTATTGCTCGCTATCAAAATTATAGTCACAACAGGAACCAAGAATGCCATAAGGGAACAGAGACTGCATCATAGCCAGCAATGTGAAACACCACTTCAATAAATTAAGAAATGATAAGTAAGAAAAACAGATGACAAAGTCATAAATATGTCTGCATCACCACCTCATGAACAGAGAGATGATTATCAGATCATGAAAAGGACTAAGTCATGGCCAGGCATATAAAAACCCTGTAGCTCTCCAATGGGAAGAAAGATAAATGAATTATTGATAGCCTGAGAAAATCAACTAGAACTACACAGTAATAAGCATACAGTAATGGAAACAAGACTCCTATTTACAGTTATTTCTCCAGGCATGCGTTATGTGGAAATGGATTGCAGACTGCCAATGTTCAAATTGGATGGTAAGTATAACATTTTAAATTCATTTTTTGTGTAAACTGTCCCAAAATCTACATTTGACAAAAATGTTTTCCAATCTTCACGGAAAGGCAATAAACAAAAGATTATAATTATGGAGTGCATTACACTATATGGACACACACACACTTTTATGCAAACACACAAGCGGGGCAACCTGTTATAACACAGTCATCTGGGAACCAATATCTCTGGCCTCAACTACAATGCAAACGTAAAAAATGGCTGACTTTCAGGTTGCCAGATCGCTGCTGACATTTCTTGTGTTTCAAGCATGTACAGTATATAAGTGACATCTAAACAAAGCCTTGCTCATCCAGCTAGGAAAGCATCATCAGCTACCTGGACTACACCTCTTCCCACCCCGCCTCCTGTAGAGACTCCATTCCCTTTACCCAGTTCCTCCGCCTCCGCCCTGACGATGCCACCTTTCACACCAGAGCAACTGAAATGTCCTCCTTTGTCCTTGAACGAGGATTCCCATCCACTGTAGTAGACAGGGCCCTTGACCGTGTCTGCCTTATTTGCCGGACCTCTGTCCTCACCCATTCTCCTTCTTCCCAGAACCGTGATAGGATCCCTTTAGTCCTCACCTTCTACCCCACCAGCTTCAACATCCAACAAATAATTCTGAGATCCAACCACCGAACATATCTTTCCCTCCCCTCTCAGCATTCCAAAGGGACTCCATGACTCCCTGGTTCATTTCTCCATTACCACCAACAAACAGTTGCTCTTCTCCCCACCGACACCTTCCCATGCCAGCCCAGGAGATGCAATACCTGCCCATTCACCTCCTCCCATACCACTGTCCAGGGCCCCAAACACAGATTTCAAGTGAGACAGTGATTTATGTGTACTACCACCAATGTAGTTTACTGTATTCGCTGCTCACGATGTGGTCTCCTCTACATTGGGGAGACCAAACACAGATTAGGTGACCGATTTGTCCGCAAACACAATGCTGAGCTTCCGGTTTCTTGCCATTTCAACTCTCCCTCCCACTCGCACTCTGACCTCTCCATCCACGGTCTCCTACACTGTTCCAATGAGACACAGCACGAGGAACAGCATGCCATTTATCTGCTAGGGGTCTTACAGCCTCAATATTGATTTAAACAATTTCAGACTTAACGGCTCACCTTCCCCCTCTTCTGTGACCATTACCACATCATCTGGGTCCCAGACACACCATTTCTCTCGCTGATCTGCCTATTTTGTTGCAATCCCCACTTGTTTTGCATCATTAATATCTCTTTAACCTATCATCCTGTCCTATCCCAGTTTCTCCTTTGTCTTTCTTGCTGTGCCTCTGCCCTCTCTGTTAAAAGCCTTAAAAGCCTCTCCCTCCCAACATGCCTGGGTTCTTACAAAGGGTCATGGACCCAAAACGTTGATTCACTTTCCTTTCTCCATAGATGCTGTCTGACATGCTGAGTGTTCCCAGCGACTTCTGTTTTTGTATCATCACAGGACTATCCTGTTTATAAATAAAAGGGATACTGATCTATCTTACTGTCCCTTGACGAAGTGGCAGAACAGAAAATGGATCATAAAACCAGATGTAAACTTCCCCAATGGCCCAACATGTAAAGCACTTACAAAAAGGTCATTGATTTGATTTCTGACTATGTTGAGTTGCTTTATTTCAGCTAAGGCCGCAATTTGCCTCAACAATCCTGTTTTTTTTCACCCATACTAAGCTATAAACTAAATGTTGCAGGTTTAATTCCTGGTCTGGCCTTCACACAATGGTAATTTTGAAACTGCCAGAATTCAAAGGGAAAGTAGAGCAGAAGTCACTGTTCCCAGTGACTTATGTTTTTGTTTCAGATTTGCAGCGTCTACAGTATTTTGCAATTTGTCCAAAGGGAAAGTATTTTGGTACATGAAATAAATTCTTTATTTAATTTACATTGGATTACCACCTTCTACTTTGAGTGATATAGTTTGGAAAAACTGAACTTGACAGATCATTTTATATCAGTGATAGCTGCTATGATAACAGAACCTCCTGTACAATACTGTGCAAAGTATTTGGCAAACACACATCACAGACAAAGAAGACTCTTGGATCATGAGGAGTCCTGTAGCTCAGTGGTTAGAGCGCTCGCTTAGCAAGCGAGAGAACTGAGTTCAATTCCAGGCAGGGCGAAACCTTGGGCAAGTTTCCTTACTCCACACGCCTAATAATAATCCCTCCAAAACAAAAAACAATAATAAATTGGTCATTTTCAATCTACGACTGTTTGTGGGACATTGCTTTGCGCAATTGGCTGCTGCGTTCGCCCACAGATATACAGTCAATTCACTTTACTGTGTGTTCTGTGAAGTGCTTTGGGACGTCCTCCCGACGTGAAAAGCGCTATATCAAATGCAAGGATTATTATTATTATTACAATACCCACCTATACAGCTTTAGGGCATTTGTTACATGACTAGCATTTTAGCCTATACCACCTTTTTCCAGCTGTGACTTACCTTCTTTCCTGAAAACTATCCTTCACTGAACCTGCCTGAGATGTAGAATTGATGACTGTGCATATTAAAAGCATTTTTTAAAGAAATACATCACTGTTGTTATTACATTATTATGGAGATCATACGGATATACATTTGTTCAAGATAAATTCAAAACGTCTTCATTTTTATTTTTAAAAGAAAAAAGTAATTGAAGACAGAGTCTATCACAGAGCTTCTCACTGTAGATAAGTGAGGCCCTGACATCAACACTAGCAATAAATAGCTTTTAACCCCTCTACTGTTTTCATTCTCTACACTCCCTCCACCAACTCATTTGCCACAGTTCTGCTGGGAGGATGTTTCCATTTCTTAAGCAAAAAAAAGGGAGATTTACCTTTATTGATAGAGGCAGGCTTCAAGGCCATCCTCCCTATAAGGCACTCCTTTAACATGGATTCATAGTTGACCCAACGATGAATCTGAAATGTGAAGGCAATGATGGTCAAATCAACCGATCCAGTTAGATTGACAGAAATTTGTACCTATGATTTTTAAATATCTCATCCCCTCTCAAAAAATACCTTGTTTTAACACAGCACTATAACACTGGATATATTTTACAATATCAACCAGTTTATTTACAATGCATTAAATGCAATTTTCCACAAAACATCTGTAAACTACTTCATCCTAGAGTAATCCATATAGCACACTTTACAGGATTGGCCAGCCTCTTACCCAGGGACTTGACTCAGTTAACATAGTTATCTTTGAAACCCACTTTATTACTCAATCCTCTGTGAGAAATCTTACTCAGGATAAATCATGTTTAGGAATGCAATGTAACATGAGAAGCAACCAATTGCTCCATTTGTCGTTATCCAAAGTCTTCTGTCAGGACAAGACTTCATAAAAAACATCTAGCTGCAATCCTGCTCCATCATCAAACTAACATCTTATTCCCTCATTATTCAGAAGGTTGGCTAATTCGTTTTGAAATGCAAGGCAGAGGATTTTGAAATCTTTGCATGTAGTGGACTGTAATTTCAGTTACTATTTTCAAAACATCTTTCAATCAGTACATCCAATTTGCATCAATCTACCACCATCCCCTACTTAATCTGTCTACTCAATTTACCTTTCATACACATTTTGGGACATGGATCGAAAATCGAATGACAAAAAACGTTTAGCTAATCAAAGCTTTGTACATTTACTTATTTAATTCTGCAGTGCCTAACAGAGATGTGAAAACCTATTTGATGACTGAACTATCGTAGTTCAGTGGCTCCCTCCTGTGGCACGTCGCATTTTATGGCAAGATTACATTGAGGATGTAATTGTTTGCAGATGTGAACCTTGGAAAGCGAGAAGTTAGTTTCATCTGAGGTGAAATAGCATCAACTCAGAACTAGTCAATGTAAGGGGGACACTCCGCACCTACCTCCAAAAGAACTCTATATTTATGTGTGATATTCACTTCAACCATGAAATGGGAAAAGGTTCAGGGGGATTTAAATACAAAAACCTCTGATTTCAAGTCTGCTGCTCAACCTACTAGGCTACCTTTCAGAGAAACTCAATCAGAGAGAAAAAAACTGAGTTTATTCAAATGATGCGCCACTTAAGTTTACCTGATCAAATAACTCAGTTCCATCAATTCCAGCTCCTCTCATGAGCTCCTCCTCTCCTCCAGGGTGATATTCCAAATAAGGGGTCAGATTGTAAACCATACCTTCAAAGGCAAACAGCACAAACCATTAGGAAGTTCATATAAAATGGAGAACTTCATCAGGACATCTGACACTAGTAATCCATGAGCACAGACAGTTTCTAATGCAACAATTGAAAGATAGTTTGATATTGTGTTTTGGCCAATCCCCATGTAGCTTTGCAAAATTCAGTTTTTAGGAGACACAAGAGAATAAAATGATCAGATAGTAAATACTCTCTCAATATTGCCCGTGTTAAGCAATTCCTACAGAATCAAATATAATTCAAAAGTATGACATACTACAGTTCAGAACATCATACATGCCCCCTTGTGTCCACAACAGAGTGCAGATACAGATCAATAAAACATGCATAATTAGAGCACTCAACTCAAACTTTTGGTTAATTTGTCAAGTTACTTGTAAAAGTGTGGACTCAATCCAAAAAAACTCAATATAAGGCTTTGTTAAGAGCAACTGGAAAGTACAGCTGATCTGAAGCGAGTTTTTTTGTTAAATAAACACTTGAAAAACAGTGACAATTATTTTGTAATAGAGGAAGTTCCTCAAAGTCCTGAACAACAACTTGTATTTATATAGTGCAGGCAACGTCAAGAGGTTGATATTTCCACATAAACACCTACTATAATTACAGTTAGATGTAACTATCCAGATTTGAAATTGTGACAATGCCACAATCTGCAATCAAAGAAAGAAATCAACAAAGATAAAGCCAGACAATAAAGACCTATTTTCATGCAGCCGATGAATACTAAAAAAGTATGAATTTTCCGTCAAGAATAAAAAATTATGCAGCAAGGCTGAAAAATAAACATTCACAAAGTATTACATTCTTGAAATAAGATGTTGTGAGTGTTACTTTGCATCTGTCAACCTAACAAAAGTCAGATTCCCACATCCCCTAAAGTATACCTCAAATCAAAACATCCAAACAATGTCATAAGTCAGGAAAATGAACCTACAATACACAAAGAAACAAAAACAACTGTCCCACCTCGTATACATATCCAGCAGTCATCTTTCTTATTGTGTTTAGCAAGTTCTTCTTCTGGAACCTCAATAAGCCTTCCCTTCAGCCCCGTCAGGTCCTTGCCGCTCTTTGTCAGCCGGATCCAGTCCATTAAACTTCGGCCAGGCTTCAATTGCACCTTTAGGTAGTGAAAAGAAGTAGCAATGAAGCAATCTCGAAACAGTGCTTTCACATAAAAACTTGATAACTATTTATCAGATTTAACAGAGTAGATCAAAAATATGCACAAATGGTTAGTTTCAGTAATGTATCCTGGGTTACAATTGCCTGTAACACTGGTTCTCTGTCTCTAGACTGAGCTCAGTGACCTATTGCAGTGTGGCCAGCATTAGGAAAATTTAAGTAAAATAAAGCTCTGTTGGGGAGAAGAGAAGGGAAAAGTAGGTTATTTACTGTTACAATTTATTTTTACACTTGTATTTACCATTAACTACAAAATATAGTCGCTACACTTCGTAGTAAATCCTGTGAAGCACTTTGGTCCTCAGTTTCCAAAGAAACTTGCTGTAATGATGTTCCAAGCAAGTTGAAGATTACTCACTCCACATCACATACATATAAAAATATTGGTGAGATGTTTTCACTCATTTAATTTATTCTTTTATCAGCCAAGTCAGCAGTTGAGTGTATTTATTCATCACAGTTCCCTTAAAGTAGAAAATGGGGTGGGGGGGAGAGAATAAAAGAATCGGCAAAAATTCCCACTCTGAATACTGTCAGTGAACTTGGATGAAAAATGCATGTGTGGATGTCAGGTGATCATTAAGTATGCAGAAATCATCCCTCATATCACTCAGGGATTTTCAGATAAACGAGTATACCATATATTCGCTTTAAGACAGTAAAGGCAGAATGTTATTTATTAAAATATCTTTTTAAAAAACATGTATTGGTATGTGGGGCAACGAGTACAATGATTAATACCTTTATATGATCACTGCATTGCATCAAGAAAGATTTCAGCTTCGGGAGGACCAAAGTGCTTCACAGGATTTACTACGAAGTGTAGCGACTATATTTTGTAGTTAATGGTAAATACAAGTGTAAAAATAAAATGTAACAGTAAATAACCTACTTTTCCCTTCTCTCCTCCTCAACAGAGCTTTATTTTACTTAAATTTCCCTAATACTGGCCACACTACAATAGGTCACTGAGCTCAGTCTAGAGACAGAGAACCAGTGTGAATTACTTCCTCAGATCCTCAATGACATGTCTGCAGGTTAAACAGACTTTAGTCCACCTTATAATGTTTACTGGAAAAAGAGAGCACAAGTGCATCGCCAACCAATTGCTGATACCAGCAAACCTTTCATTACGTGTTTATAATAGGATTTCCCATTATATCGAGTATTAATCTAATTCCTCTCACCAGGTCAATGTGATAGGGTATAATGAGTTGTATTTTGCAAGTACAGATTTTGAATTAAAGAGCTTCTAAACCAAATCATGAGGAAAAACTTGTGCCTTCCAGCACTCCTGCATGTGATCCCAGTCCAAAGCTTGAGCCTGTGACATCCGCCCTCAGCAATTTTAAAATAGGATAGAGCCCCGTTTTCCTAAAATGTACAATGGCACTCAAACAGTACTTATTCTATAATTTATGCCACAAGCAACATTTAAAGGAGAATTCAACAAATACTAACATCATCAAACTTTATAACGCAGACACAGGACATCCGGCCATCAAATATACACTAGTGTTTTTCGCCACATGAATTACCTAATCCATTTCCTCTCTTACCCACTTCACATAATCATTTAATATTCCTCCTTTACAAACAACAATCTAATTCCCTTTAAAGAATTTATGGCCTCTGCCTTAACAGGAGAACTTCTTCCTTATAATTCAGTGTTACAGTTAACTAGAATGATTGGACCTCTTAGCTACTGCATCGTAAGATAACACAAACAGTCGTGGATTCATTGACCGAACTGAGCAACAAGAAGCTATTGCACCACAAAACAATTGTTACAAATATACCAAAAAACATCTTAACCACAACGTTAATCAGAATAACAAATCCACCCCAATAAAAATAAACAGTGCACGGAATCATATGGAGTTCTGATTGTTTTCTAAATGATTAAACACAAATAGCTTAACATGTAATGTTTCATTTTTACACACATGTGAATAGAAATAGAATTATTGTATTTCAAATAAAGACTTTTGCTATTCAGGTTTTATTCCAAACGTTTCCAGACAACCCATTCACAACACAAGTTGCACGTTACCAAACCTGAAATGGTGGCAACCAAGATACTGTAGATACAAATGAACCGGGTTGTTGCTTGACCACGCCACATCAAGTCGTAGTCACGTGGCATGATACACACTCATTCATGTTTACAAAATAATTTTGTTGTCATTGGTTGCTGCAGCCTCCCTTTTCGGCTCGGTATCAAGTCATGCGTTGGTTAAACGCTCCATGTTACTAGTCATGTGAAGGATGCTATGATAAATGCAAGTTGTTATTGTTGACGCATTCTTCTCATTCTTAAAAACAAGCATTACTCCATGTGTTCTAACAGCTTCGTAGTTCAGCCTTGCTCTAGAAAAACATAAATCTCAACATTTTACCTTCCACAACTCAAAAAATTTTGCAGAACTAGTAACAGGAGTGAACTTGTGTGAGCTTTACGATCGACCCCTTAAGTCAATTTTCTCTCTTTCTCTCCCAAAGGCATAGGTGGTGTCCTGTAGTTCAGTGGTTAGAGCACCCGCTTTGCAAATGGGAGACCTGGGTTTGATTCCCAGCAGGGTCAAACCCTGGGCAAGTTTCCTTACTCCACACACGTGATAATAATCCCTCAAGAAAATAAAACAATAATAAATTGGTCACTTCAAACCACGACTGTTTGTGGGACACTGCTGTGCGCAATTGGCTGCCGCATTTCACCCACTTTATCCAGAGTCACAGGAAGGTTTCAGAAAACTGGGTAAACAAACAGGACAGTCAAGCAGATTCAAGAGGGTCCACATCCTCAGATCTGAGTTTGACAAGGGATGGAATTACTGCAGTGTCAGCCCCAGTGGGTCAGTCAGTCAGGGCTGAGGGGCAATGTCAGGGCTGAGGGTCAGTGTTATGGCTGAGGGTTGGGATTTCAGTGTTAGGACTGATGGATGGGAGGTCAGTGTCAGGGCTGGGGGGGGGGGCAGGGTGGGGGGGGGGCAGTGTCAGGGCTGGGGGGGGGGGCAGTGTCAGGGCGGGGGGGGGCAGTGTCAGGGCTGGGGGGGGGGGGCAGTGTCAGGGCTGGGGGGGGGGGCAGTGTCAGGGCTGGGGGGGGGGGGCAGTGTCAGGGCTGGGGGGGGGTCAGTGTCAGGGCTGGGGGGGGGGGGTCAGTGTCAGGGCTGGGGGGGGGGGGGGTCAGTGTCAGGGCTGGGGGGGGGGTCAGTGTCAGGGCTGGGGGGGGGTCAGTGTCAGGGCTGGGGGGGGGGGGTCAGTGTCAGGGCTGGGGGGGGGTCAGTGTCAGGGCTGGGGGGGGGGCAGTGTCAGGGCTGGGGGGGGGTCAGGGCTGGGGGGGGTCAGGGCTGGGGGGGTCAGGGCTGGGGGGGGCCGGGCTGGGGGGGGGTCAGGGCTGGGGGGGGGGTCAGGGCTGGGGGGGGGGGCAGGGCTGGGGGGGGTCAGGGCTGGGGGGGGGGGCAGGGCTGGGGGAGGTGCAGGGCTGGGGGGGTCAGTGTCAGGGCTGGGGGGGGGCAGGGCTGGGGGGGGGCAGGGCTGGGGGGGGGTGCAGGGCTGGGGGGGGGGGCAGGGCTGGGGGGGGGCAGGGCTGGGGGGGGGGCAGGGCTGGGGGGGGCAGGGCTGGGGGGGGGGCAGGGCTGGGGGGGGGGGGCAGGGCTGGGGGGGGGGGCAGGGCGGGGGGGGGCAGGGCTGGGGGGGGGCAGGGCTGGGGGGGGGGGGCAGGGCTGGGGGGGTCAGGGCTGGGGGGGGGGCAGGGCTGGGGGGGGTCAGTGTCAGGGCTGGGGGGGGGGCAGGGCTGGGGTGGGGGGGGTCTCACCTTGTTGCGGTCAGTGCCCCCCGACAGCCGCTGCTGAGAGGAGGCCGCGGGGAAGGCCTGTGTCGGGGGCCTCAGCATCTTCGGGTGTTTCCTGTCAGCGCCCCCGGAGGCTCATCACAGGCACCGGGTCAGGTCCTCCCGACACCGGGTACTGGTAACCACTGTCTGTCTGTCTGTGTGTGTGTGTGTGTATGGCCTCTCTCTCTCTCTCTGTGTGTGTATGGCCTCTCTCTCTCTCTCTCTCTGTGTGTGTATGGCCTCTCTCTCTCTCTCTGTGTGTGTATGGCCTCTCTCTCTCTCTGTGTGTATGGCCTCTCTCTCTCTCTGTGTATGGCCTCTCTCTCTCTCTGTGTGTATGGCCTGTCTCTCTCTCTCTGTGTGTATGGCCTCTCTCTCTCTCTCTGTGTGTATGGCCTCTCTCTCTCTCTCTCTCTGTGTGTATGGCCTCTCTCTCTCTCTCTGTGTGTATGGCCTCTCTCTCTCGCTGTGTGTGTATGGCCTCTCTCTCTCTGTATGGCCTCTCTCTCTCTCTCTGTGTATGGCCTCTCTCTCTCTCTCTGTCACTATTGTGTAAACACTATCTCACTCTGTTGCTTCTCTTCCTCTGGAGCTTCCGGTTGGGTTAGTGCACATGCGCGGGGGCGATTGGGTTTCTGGGAGTTGGAGTTCTGGTCTCTTCCTGTTGCACCTGATTGGGGCGGTTGAGTGGGTTGGCCGTGCGGTTGAGTGGGTTGGCCGTGCGGTTGAGTGGGTTGGCCGTGCGGTTGAGTGGGTTGGCCGTGCGGTTGAGTGGGTTGGCCGTGCGGTTGAGTGGGTTGGCCTGAATCCATTCAGTCCCATTTGCCTTTTAAAATTTTTTCCTTACAGCCCTGCAACTTATTCCTTTGTAGGTATCCAGTCTAATAAATGGAATCTTGTTGTTGTTGTTGTTGTACCTCTTTGAGCGCAGCTTTGTCACCGCCCCTCCCCTCCCCTCCCCTCCCCTCCCTCTTTTCCGGTTCTTGGCCCCCATCCCCGAGGACAATGTTCTGAGATGTTATTCTGCACGAAGGTCCAAGCTGTTGTCGTTCATTCTTCAGAGCTTGTAATGGATCCTGCCTCAACCACCACCAACCCAGCAGAGAGGGTGTTCCACAACCTAACACGAGAAGAGATTCTCCTAATCCCCCCCCTTCCTCTCTTCCTATAAATCTTAAACTGATGCCCACCAGTCATCGGCTCATTGACTAGTGGAAATAATTTCTCCCCATCTACTTCAACCCTTAAGATTTTAAACACCTATACCCCATTGGTTTCCCCTCAAGCTGCTCTGTTCTCAAAATAGACTGCATTCCTCTAGTTTTTGTTCACAGGTCAAACCGCTCATGCCTGGTATCATCCCAGTAAATCTTCTCTCTACCCTTTCTCTGGCATCTTTCTTGTACTCGTTAATTGCTTCTTTAGCCAAATCTCTAACCAGTTCCATCTTAAATTTGCGGGTAAGTTACTCAATATACTTCAGGAACACATTGCAAAGAAAACTGCAACTGCTCAAACACACAGTCAGATATCCTGCTCCATATTGAAAGTGTTGGAACAAGTTGATGTGAGAACTCAGGCATTAGCCAAAGATGAATAGAAAGCAGTGACTGTGCAGAAGATGCTCCAAAGGCAAAATAACAGGCTGTCACCTGTGACTGAATGAAACTACTTGATACAGGAAAATCCCCTTTGCCCTCTCTATTTGAGGTCTAAATTAAAATGCTTGAACCAATCCTAAGGGCAATCTGGACACTGCAAGAGCTGTCCATAATCAGGGAAATACAACAACAACAACAAAATTACATTTATAGAGCGCCTTCCACGTCAGGAGGACGTCCCAAAGTGCTGAACAGTCAGGTGTCAGGGCCCGAGCGTGGGGGAAGGCAGAGAGGTGGGAGGGAGACCAAAGGCACGGTCGAAGAGAAGGGTCTTGAGACCGGCCTTGAAGGAGGCAAGGGAGGAAGCGAGGCAAAGGGACCATGGGATGGGGGGCAGAGAGGCTGAAAGCCTGGCCACCGATGGTAGGGCGAAGGGAGCGGGCGGGTTGGTAGGGAGTCAGCAGGTCAGAGAGGTAGAAGGGGGCAAGGCAATGGAGGCCTTAAAGGTGAGGACAAGGATCTTGAACTCAATCCTCTGGGGGATGGGGAGCCAGTGGAGTCGGGTGAGAGTGGGAGTGATGGGGTCACGGAGCCTGGTGCGTGAGAGTACACGAGCTGCAGAGTTTTGGATGATCTGCAGCTTGTGAAGGGAAGAGTTGAATATGTTGAAAGAAATATGTTGGAACTTTTGCTATATGATGAAAAGGCGTACGTATTTTTTTAACATGATTTAGAGTAACTTCAACACAATCTTTGTAAAGTTATTTGTTCATGGCCTGCCCAAAGCACAGGGACCAATGTTCCCTGGAATGTTTGTTCATCTCAGTCTATATGCTGTAAACCATCAATCTTCAATGCTGTTGCTAACCAGATATTGATCCTGTCTTACTTTAAATTTGGCCAACTAAAAGAATGAAAATGAGGTCAACTAAAGAGTTGCAACATTTCTAAATGCCCTGTACAGAGTGAGAAATCTTTACATAAGTGCCCAATGTACAAGGAACATAATAGGTACATTATTATTTGAAGCTTTTTAATACCGATTTTGGTTGAAACATTTTGTGCAAACCAAAATAAAAAAGAAAATGTAAAATTCAAATACTTCAGCGGTCACTTTATTTAATTCAGATTTGTTTTCTTGTACCAGGATAAATTTGAGGTCAATATAATCTTTTATAGTTTGCAGAATTTTCAAAGGATCAGAGTCGATATAGATGTGTTTTTGAAAATCCTGTTTTATATGACTGTGTTACAACATTCACGTTGCTTTTATTATCACAGATTGTCCCAGTTACATTGTGCAGTCACACTCATCTGTTTGATCATCCTCTAGATTTAACTGTATCTTGTTTTTATTCTCATCCAGCTGTACAAATGTTTTCCATGTGTGGCAATAGTTTATCAAACTTAAAAAGCTATCTGTGATACACTGCCTATAAATTTTAGCCATCATATGCATCCAATTGAAACCTTCAATATCTTTAACAGTCTTTCAGAATTATGAGGTTTATCATTCAACTATTGCTAACATTAGAGATCTTTTGTTGTATGCTTATAATGATATACACCCTTATAGAGATAGAATCCATAAATTCTTTAAAAAGGGAATTATATAAATGCTCAAGAAAGAACCATATTAAAGGGTATGGGGAGTGAGCGGGGGAAATTCAAATAGATGTGATGAGCTGATTGAGTTGTTTCTGATCTGTAAAATTCTTCAGGGCAACATGTTTTGATCCCCCCAAAAATACGGCACATTATAATGGGTATGTGTAAAATAATGGCCACCTGTCCTGCTTCCAGGTCACCATTGTCTTCACTTCCAGCTTCTGGCACAGACTGACTGGCTTCCTGCATCTGTGCTCAAGAAACCAGTCAGGCTCAATTACTCTCACACTAGAAACACTCGCAAGAGTGGTCACAGCTGACTGTCCAATGTTCCACCACACTTCCGGTAACTGCAGATCCACAAGACACCCTTGTTAAAAGTAACACTTTTAACAAGGGTGTCCTGTGGATCTGCAATTACTGGAAGTGTGGTGGTACATTGGACAGTCATTGGACAAAAAACACTTTACCACACACTCAATAACGCACTCAATCATTTAGAAAATAGCCAAAGATGTATTTCCAGGATAAAATTATATTTTGGAAAAATATCAAAATGCAACCAAAACCTCTGCTGACCAATTCCATTGATAACTATCATAATAATGACTTGCACTTGATATAAACCTTTCCATGTCCCAAGGTGCTTTACAGTATTTGTGATTACTGCATATTTTGTCAACAAAGCATGGCAGCCAATTTGGATACTGATATCCCACAAACAGCCAATGACCAATTTTATCCAGGGGATTTTGGCCAGGGCCCAGGAGAACTTACTTTTTCTTTCAAATAGTGCCACAGGAACTTTAACATCCGCCTTAACAGGCAGATGGGACTTTGGTTTAACATTTTATCTGAAGGACGTCACCTCTGACAATGCAGAGCACCCCCAGCACTGTACTGGAGAATCATGGACCCATTATAATGTGCAATGTACTTAATCTATGGGCTCAGAAGTACTGACATGTATCTTGAACTCAAAACCCTCTGATTCAGAGACAAGATTGACAGTCAAAAAATATATATATAAATAAAGTTTACATTGCTACAATTCTAATATGAATTGATTTTTTTAGACAAAATATGTTCATTGGTAACTTTCAGTAGCAAAATGTCCTTTAAAAATATGATTACATTATTCATATTATTTGACCTGTACAGTAATTTGCTCTCCAGTATTTTGAACAGCATTTCTCATTTAGTGATTATTTTTTGTGCAAAAGTCAGTCTGAACACTAATCATCAAAAGTACAAAACAAAACAGAGCCTAACTCCACTGGCCATGTGGTAAAAGAAAAGTGCTGACTCTAATCCAGTTTCAAATTAAAGGTCTTTCTAAAACCTAACATTCAGTATTTTGTTTATTAATGGAAATGTAATGCTAGTGTTTTTGGAACATAAACTGTTTAAATTCACCATTGCATCTGTTTGGTCTCACTATGATCTGAAAAATATCTAATTTACTTTCCTCTAACATGCAGGAATATGCTCAGCACAAAAGGGCATTAAAAGATCCTTGAACGTATGATTATGACGCACATGAGATTAGCTTGATGGGCTTTCAGCAGGGAGCTGTGAATTACTTAAAGATGCTGAATGACAATTGCCAAAGCATGGCTCAAATAGACAAAGGTTCTCCTGCATATTGCCATGGTAATACTACAAGCTCTTGTGGATTTACATTCTGCTGTTGGAAATTGATTACTTAACACAGTGCAAAATTGCCCTGGCACCTCTATATGTCTCCAACCTACTCACACCCTCTACTCTATTCATCCCTTTTGCTCAGCCGGCTTGAGTATTCTGCATGTCCCTCAACCCTTCTGCTCCATCGTTGGCATCTCTGCTTTCAAACATGATGCGCCAAATGTTTGGAACTCCAAGCCTCAATCCTCCACCTTACCCTCTCTTTGCCCATCTTCAGATTGCACATGAAGACTTTGCTATTTGACTA